GTGCTGCGTCTCCGAAACGCGCATACAGGATCCGAGTAGCGTCATTCATTTGACCTCACCATGCCAAAATAAAGAACCAACTCGATTGACACTTCGTGTATCTGGAAGCCCTGATTCTGCTTCCCGTGGCCTCGCCGGCGTAGGTATAGCATTGAGTCCTAGGGCAGAACTAGCTCTCTTAGAGTGGATCCCAGTAGACAGTCGTTTGTGCGCTGTCCGACTAAACGGAACAGTAAGACTCGGAAAGATAGGGACACTCGTCGTTGCCTCTTCGTCGTCTCTGCTTATTCTCCCACTGACTGCAGCGCAGATGATGTAAAAGATGAGTTTTACAGAAAGCTCTCCGACCTTCTCCGAAAAACTAGGCGCTCGGATGTAGTAACAGTGGCCGGTGACTTTATTGCTCAAGTAGGTAAACTAAGCGATAGGGCAAGACACCTGGGTGGATCTTATAGCATCGTGGCTCAAAGAACAGATAATGGCGACCGTCTGTTGCAGCTATGCTCAGATAACCGCCTGTTTCTTGCAAATACTAACTTTAAGCATAAGCAAAAACATCTTTGAACATGGCGACCCCCTAATTCGTCCCAACGTTGGACCCAAATAGATCACATCGCTATCAGCCACCGATGGAGGGGCTCGATAGAAGACTCTCGCTCATTCTGGAGCAAATGCTTAGATTCAGATCATGCTCTAGTGCGAGCGCGTATCTGTCTGCGTCTTACTGGACGTAGGAAAGACGCTGCAAGAAAATCCCTTAGGGTTCTACTTAATGATAGCCGAACTAAGAATGCATTTCAAGGACAACTAGAAAAACAATTAGGCAGCCATGTAAGTGATGCCCGCCTTGAGGCGGCTCGGAATGATATCGGAAAAGCTGTGAAAACAGCAGTGATAACTGCTAGTCAGACAAACCATAAGGTTGGGGGGAAATACTGGATCTCAGTGACACCAACTGCACTGATTGATACTGGAAAACTCATTCCATCTGGCTCTGAACATGACGAAGTGCGGAGTCAGCTTAAGCTCATTGTGATAAGAAGCCCACGCAATGATCACGAGCAGTGGTGTGTAGCGAAAGCAAGAGAGATGGAAAAGGCAGCGGCAATAGGTAATAGCAGACAATTGTTCAGACTCGTTAAGGAAACCGGAATTAGGAACCCGACCGTTAGCGAAACAATCTCAGAGAAAGATGGACATATTATTCATTCTCAATCCAGGAGATTGGATCGATGGGCAGAACACTTTAGGGATCAGTTCAACTGGCCTTCAGCCACACTTCGGTTTCCCACGATCTCCAGTCAACCTGAATGGCAAGTTAATGTAGGTCCTCCGTCCCTTTACGAAGTTGAAAAAGCCATAGGAAATCTGAAACGAGGGAGAGCAGCAGGCCCTGACAGGTTTACTCCTGAGATTTTTAAGGATGGTGGTCCAGTATTAGCAATGAGATTAACTGAGGTCTTAGGTAGAATTTGGGAACTGGACGTAATCCCATCTGACTGGTCTCAATCACTGATTGTGCCAGTCTATAAGAAAGGACAAAAGTCCTCTTGTGACAATCACAGAGGAATCAGTTTGACTAATATAGTGTCTAAAATATTAGCTTCAATAATACTTCGACGCCTAACAAAGCTCGTGAAGAGCAGACTAGAGAAAACCAGGCTGGTTTTCGACCTGGACGTGGTTGTATAGATCAGATATTCACACTACGTCAGGTTCTAGAACACAGACACACATTCAGACGCCCCACAATGGTAGTATTTCTCGACCTTAAGGCGGCATTCGACTCTGTTGATCGTGAGGTTCTATGGCAGTGTTTGTCACTGAAAGGAGTACCAAAGAAGTACATTAACCTTATAAAGGCTCTCTACTCGAACACAACTGGTCGAGTGAGAGCTTATGGCGAACTGTCATCAGAATTGATTACCTCAAGTGGTGTTCGTCAGGGCTGTCCACTCTCTCCATTCTTGTTCAACTTTGTCGTCGACGTACTTTTAGAGATAACACTTTCCTCATCTAAATTTCCAGGGGTTGAACTTCTACCAGGAGGTTCACTTTTTGACTTAGAATATGCCGATGACAGTTTTATTTGGTGAAGACACTGAAAAAATGCAGAGTCTTCTGACCAATCTAAGCAACAATGCAGGCATGTTCGGGATGAGATTCTTCCCCTACAAATGCAAAATGTTGCTTCAGGATTGGGTTGCGTTGACACCAGACCAAAACATGGCACAAGTCCATGAAATCACTGACAAGTGGTCTGAGTCATGTCGGTAGGTGTAGACTACTTGGTTGGGGACCGCGAGATGATAGCAACCGATGGTTAGAGACCCTGAATGACGTGGCTCAAAACCGTTTGCAATGGCGCAGGTACATACACTCTTTGTGTTCTCCCAAATTCTAATCTTCTGAATTCTTCATGTCCATTTCTTTTTTCTCTTCTCAAATTTATTTCACTGGATTATACTCTTTGAATAGCATCTTCACACCCTAATTTTTCTGATTGCTGCTTGTATTCTTACTACCTCTACCACTACGGGATTTGATTCGACCACTGCATCTCTGTGCTAATGTGGTGTGGCAACTCGAACTGATGTACTTACGTACGAAGTTCTACGTTGTTACTGACTGACTGACTACGCCTGTTACTCCTAATGGAGCATAGGCCGCCGACCAGCTTTCTCCAACCCACTCTGTCCTGGGCCTTCTTTTCTAATTCCATCCAATTCTTGTTCATTTTTTCATGTCTATCTTCATTTCCCGGCGTAATGTGTTGTTTGGTCTTTCTCTTTTCCTTTGGCCTTGAGGATTCCATGTGAGGGCTTGTCTTGTGACGCAGTTAAGTCATTCTCAGCACGCTGATGACATTGCAGCGTGATTATATATGTGTAATGAAAACCACGAGACCTGATAAAACATAGTGGCACTAAACCGTATCTTTGTGCAATGGGTTACTCTTCATATTTGGAAATCATTTACAAAAAAGTATATCGAGTCTTTCCCTAAATACTCGCTACATTGTCTCACACAAATCGCAAGGCGTACAACAAACTGACTCAAAAAAGCAGACTGAATCTTTCCTACGTTGTGTGTCGGTCATATATTCACATTTATCCAGAAATGCTAAACACATTTTAGACCAGCAGTAGTTTTGTTTCTTGCCATCTGACCTACCTTTCATTGGTTGTACGAAACTATGCTATGGAATTGTGTTAGAGATAATTTCATTAGCAGCATACTGAAAGTTCAGTGTACAAAATATTTTAGTGAAATAATATCAGGAAATTACCTGTTTACATTAATTTAAACCATCAGTACAGCTAAAAAAGGTCTTCAGATCTCTCTATCTACAATATTTTGGAGATATTTCAAAATGGTGCGCAAATCTGTTGGTTGAAGACCTACAAGAAACGACCGGTTGCATAAATTTTTATACGATGCCGTACAAACTACTTAAATCGTATTTAATTAGTCAGGTATCAGCGTTTATAGGAATAGAATATGTTTTGCATCACAAAATTGTCAAGTGTATGTAGAGTCGATTGGTTCATATATTTTGGATATAATTGTATATCTGACAGATTCGTAGCAAACAAAGCCCACCGTCATATGGCTATAGCAAAGTTGAGACTATTAATTTTTGCCATGTTCGACTTCGTGATGTTAACTGACTAATAAAAGTATTATTATACCTGCCTTGAAGCTCGGTACCCAAATGTTATAATTAGTAGGAAATATATCGGGAGTTACAAGACAATGAAATCTTCATTAGGAATTTATATCAATCATTGAAAATACATTCAGAAGAAAAAATTATTGCGGATATGATTATCTTGAAATAATAAAAATGAATTTTTAGTGTGGTCGCCATTAGCCACACAGAAACACTAGTTCATTATTAACCCACGGTAGTTTAAGTTTAATGTGGACAGTTTCATGCAAGATCGCCAACTAGATATGAACTTTCAGGAATCGAGTTACATTGTTTGAAACATTTATGACATTTGAAGTATAGGTAAACAGAAATGTACTTTTACATGAGCTTCAAAAACCCGACGCACCAAAACAAAATACCCATAATGGTTCTAACCATCCTAAACTGTTAGTAGCAGTTAAAGTAGTATCTGGTACGACCTTGCATAGTTTCAAGTTTCCATGTTCGACATCAGTAAATTAAAAGGAAATAGCTTTAAGCAACTGACAGGATAAAAGGAACTCAGAACGTTTACTGTAGTTCAGAATGATGATTTAGTGTGAAAAGGACTGGTATATATGGGAAATTTCGGTATTTTCACGAATCAATCACTAAGGGTATGGGTTCTTGTTATATTCTGATAAGAATAATGAATGGTAACTTTTTGGATCCATTTACGGACCAATACTATGAGTATATTTTTATCGTATAATTGTTATGTAACTAAAATGTTCATACTCATGTCGCTCTTATTATAAGCTTTAATTTGACCCATAGACTATTACTATACGATTTACCATTCTTGGGTTACGGCCTGTCTATTAATTACTATCTCCCTCATTCATAGCCACATTTGGCTAATTCTTGTACAAATGTTTCATATTTTGTTGTACGTTGTGGTGTCTGATTGATACATAAATCGAGTGTTTGAAATAAATGATTCATATTGCATAAGTTGAGATTGGTGTTCTGGACTTAATTGGCTGGGCCAGATAGGAAGCGAGACCAATAAGGACTCTAGGCTGTTCGCACGTGTTTTATGAGTCACTGGTTTGATCGATAATCCGCTGCTCTCTGATTGGCGGTATCGTTGCGTTATACAATAAACAGGGCACACAGGTTCACAAGTTATGACAGTTTTGAAGCGTTAGGTTCCATTTTACCCAAGTGCTTTGAAAATATCGGAATTTTTTTAGTGGTTACGGTTGGATTTTGTGGGAATCTTTTATTTTTCCAACAGAAATTCTCGTTTGCAAACAGCGAAAAATTTGTATTACCTGAAAGCCGAACTGGTAACCACAAACATGGATATCAGAAAGGAAATTTATTTTCACTATACAGGATTACAATAACTAAGTAACATTAAGTTTTCTACGCTTATTAGTTACAGATGTTTCTTTGCATTCTGGTGAATTTTCTGAATTAGATGAGGAATAATTATACATACTTTCTACAACTTGCTCATTTTTTGAATGCGGTAAATCGCGGGACTGATATACAATTGTGTCTACGATTCTGCTTAGGGCATAGAAGTTTGAAGATGTGAGTTCGAGCAGTCTAGTAACTTTCGCGAATCCACGGGTTTTCATCAGTTCTTCAGCAGTATATGTGTCTGTCGAAAAAAAATGCGATGAGAGTTTAAAATGTAAGGCGTGAAATTATAAAGCATGTACAATAGCGTTAGCTACAATTTGAAACTTATGTGGTCCTCGCTAGTTACCTCACTAAGGTGTTCGAAGGTAAGTAATAAAGTGTCTCAGTGATGACCACAAATATTAATTTGTTAAGTATGATAATTTTTCAGTAAAATTAATCATTAAAGATTAGTGAAGATTAAAATTTTAATAGCCTCTTTAGCTATTGTCAATAACTAGAAAATAAAAATCCATAACAGTTTATAAAAGCAAATCACTCAGTCGGTGATAAACGGGATCAAAATTAACATATATATCCGCAATTAGCAACTTCAGAATTCGATCTATTGGACCAATATATGTGAGTAATCAATAACTGACTTTTAACTACATATTACTATAATTTATTTCCCACTCTACATTAAAGTGGAATCTTCTTTAGATCAAAGGAATATTTTTAACTGAATTGTACCTTCCATTATGTATCATTCACTTCAATTACATCTTAACGACACTTTTTATTGCCGACTTTGACAAGTACACGTTGCAACTATCACAGTAGATAAATATGGATGCAGATATATTCACCAACAATTACAACTGGGCTGCTTTACAATAAACCTTCAAATCACTTTTGAAGTGCAGTTGGTAATTACGATTCACAAAAATTTCCAAAGTGGAGAATGTAATCCACTCAAATAAGCGCATTTCCTAAGAGATTTAATAATATCTAATGGGAAAGAATAAGTATTATGGTATTGAAAAATTAATGAAGCTCAAAAGCATGCTTTTTGTTCAGCTTAATATGTTGCTAAGATCGGGAAATTTAAGTAACAAGGTTATCGAAAACTTAATTTTATTTGTTCTGTATTGCACAGTAAATTTTAGTTTACAATCTCTCAAATTATTTATCTCTTTTCAACAATCAATATAAATCATAAAACTGATGGTACTATAGACTATTAAAAAGCACTGTCTTAAAGTGGAAACTTACTTAATATACAATGATATAATTCTAAGCAAACTGCAGATGAATCTTTACGCCAAATATTGTTGTAAATAAATCCAAAAATGTATTCTAACTGACGATTATCTCTACCTGCGATTGCGGCAACTAACGTATCTCTTCTTATTAATTCTCGTACAACAGCAAGTGCTAAGTTTAAACAATATTGAGGGGTAGGAATGGTTTTTCTTTTAAAGCGACGCATCCATGATCGATAGGTTAAAGCTAACGTCAACGCACGAGAGTGATTAAAACGTCTGAGTAGAACGTCTACTCGATTATATGTATTTGTCAGTGTTTGAGAGTAAAACGACTGACCACTGCGTGATATTTCCGTTTTCTGTTTTCATTGTAAATATAAAAGGAAATCAAGTCATTAGAAAGTCTTTAAAAGTTTAAAGGCTATTTGTAAATCAAATCTTAATAACAAGAAATACAAGTTATGGATATAAACAACTTGCATTTTGTGGTAAATATTGTAGGACAATGTTAGCGATTTATCTCATTTTTATTTATTTAAGGTACATAAAATCTGGTACAAACAGTAACTAAAAAATAGAATGTATCACACAGAATGGAGGAATAACATTGTGAAAAGAAGAGAGAGAGGAAGTATACTTGAAAGAGGAAGATAAATACATAAATACAGTAAACAATGGCAATATATAATAGAAGATACAGTTAACTTTAAAATCGAGAAAGATTCCGCGAGAACAAATGGCGTATGAACATCTCTTAACGTTGTTCCACTGCTTTGCGGATCAGATCTCTAGATCAAAGACAAAAAGGGGTAACCCACCGAGAAAAAAACCTGCTTCGATCTAGATGTTGGGTTAGTATCCCGGTCTACAAACTAATATGATCATTACTGATAAAGGATTAGTTCTCGGTCTCTCTTGCCATTCATACAAACGATATATACAATTCATCAAGAATATTGCCCTTTGGAGTTACTTGTCATACAAAGATTATCAACGACAAGTTTCCCAACACAAATTTGTCCTGAAGATTCATCTGACTTTTTACTTTTATTTTTACTACTTCGACTCCTCCGTTTACTTAACGTCTGTATTCATAACTAAATACACTAGCTCACTTAGTGATTTGATGATAGTATTCTAGACAATATATCAAATGGGACTTATGATGATCAAAGGATTTTAACGATAACAGGTATTTAAAAACAGGCAATGAAGATCTTATTGTTATTTTGAGTGAGAAATATAGTGCTAGCAAGATTTTGGGCTTGGAACTGATAAACCCTTGGAAATTGTTTGAGAAAATTCAAATGAAACAGTGGTATCAAGAGCTTACTTGATGAATTAAAGGGACATACGGCCTTTCAGTTGCTTTGAATTTTTCGGGTGAAAACCAGTCCCTGGGGGCACGGCGAGAACCAGTTAGGGGTACTTCTAGCCATTCGTTCATTTTCATTGACATAAAGCGATCGCCTTTATTTGGTTTTGAAAACTGAGACAATAAACTCATATATGGATCCTCCGTGTCACTAGAAGACACTTTGTTTTGCCCCTCAGATGATGCCGAGACAAATGTGTCTATTTTCGAGTCGTAGTGTTTGATTTTAACGAAACCATGTTCTCCTCCTATTACAAGACTTCCACACTTTGGCTACAATATTGTATAAACAGGAACAGAAAAATGAGTTATCTAACGTGGTACAAAATTTAAAGTGATGAAGCATAATTCGGCAAAATACTGAATAGTGAGTATTAAGCAGACTATTATCAGGTAGTATAAATGTAAATTATACAGGAAAGGACTGCAGAATGAGTAACTGACATTTAAAATTAAGTAAACACGTTGTATTGTGTATTTCATCTACAAAAGTTGAGAAGGCGAGATTATCTGATGAAACTGATATGATTAAAAATGCAGTTTATCGGTAGATTTATACTATTTTACCACCAACAATTAGATAACTCATAATATTACCACGAAACAAACAACTAGTAAAGCAGGTATAAAAGATACGAGTGGATCCTATGATTTATATCCTCAGGAGCGAACCCGAACGTTCTAACGAATAGGAGAAAACCTTTAGTTTAAGGACAGGAAGAAACAATTTATAAGACATATTTTGTTTGATATGTTGATAGAGATCGATTTTCGGATCATCAAATGCGTAAATTATAACACCCTTGCTATTCCTGTTACTTCAATGAAAATGAATGGACCAGAACAGGAGTGGAAGGGTACAAAACTACGGTTAACAAAAAAGTAAACTACCGTGACACCTATAGCAGTCAAAGGCGATGAACATTGGAGCTGATACAATTCTTTACCATCCAGCAAACTGGTGAACTTGACGAGCTTGTCTAGCGAAACAGATAAAAGTACTTCTTCATCTGTGATGGGATGTTGTTCAATGAATAAGCCAGTAATAACTTTGTAATGAAGATGTAGATCTTGACTTGTTCCATAGTCATGAAATTTCTGAGCTGAGAAGTCCCAGGACTGTACAACTGAACCAGCAGCAACAGCCAAAATTTTATCCGTCTTGCTAAGAGCAAGAGCAGAGACCGCAGACGGAAATGTGATTTTTTGAACAGGTTTTGGCTTGAAAGTGGAATCAAAACAGTGAGTAAACTGTATAAACTAAACTGAAGTTCATATACACTGTCAAGTAGAACTAAATTATTATTATTCCTATTTAAATACACAGCCCAGTGCAAATTTTTGGTTACTTTAACGTAAGAAGTAGAAACAAACCGTAAATTTTGCATAAAGTAGCCTGTTCTATGGAGAAATAGAAAACTCAAGATTTTTCCCACCGAAATCCTGGACTTTTCTATTAACCCTGTGTTATCACTACTAGTATTAGAACGGTGCTTTTTGATGGTAGGACTTGTTCTCATTCCATGATGGCGGTTGTTTCTAAAAACCTTAGAAATTCAAAAGCCTATTACAAGTATATTTCAGGTACTGAGGACAATTAATTTTTCTTACTTTTTCAAACCAACAGCTAAGATTAACACATATTTTACTTCGTCTTTTTGTTTTGGCGGTATTCCACAGTTTTGGATGAATCCTTGTAGAATTTATAGCTATATACGCATTGGTAGTAGAAATACGAACGTATTTCATTATTTTATAACTCACGGATTGGAGACTATCTATAAGTATATCACACCACTTATATTACCAATGTGAGGATTATCTTAAAATTAATTGCACTTCATGCTGACCTTACATAGTAAATCGTTGGAAATGACAAAGTAATTGGTGCATCTGTGTATCTCTATTATTAGTAGCGAGTCCGTATGAAATAAGTCAACGACACCAATGCCAACTAAGGTTATTTTTCAAGCTGATACGTAACACCAGAATACAAAACACTTATCTACTATACCTTAACAAGAGCATTTTAATAAAATTAAACCTAAAATGAAGCGACTCAACTTGTTTACGTTTATTGATGACTACATCTATAGCTTTTAGAAAAGAAAAGCAATATCTGCCAGAAAGAGTTTAAAACCAATCTAAAAACTGTTAGGCTTTTTGGCACAAAGGATGAATTCAATCATTTCTCTAACTTCACTATGACTTATGTTTAATATGAGGGATAGCTAAAGGGAGTAGTCACTACCCGTCATATTAAATATATAGATCTATTATCGGTATATACACCACATGTGATAGCCTAATCTCTAAGTAACTATGAAAGAACTTTATTTCCTCAATTTTATCGTTTACACTTTTAACAACCTAAATTTCAGGGGATTCTTTACACGCCGCTTGAGTATTTTTTCAAGTACCATTATAATCTTTTAAGGATAATATTCTATTATGCACAGAAACCTCATTTCCGTGGATTGATCTAAACAAATATCAACCCTACTTTGAACGAGATAAAGATCTACATTACGAACAGTGGGAAATGCCCGAAATTTCAGTGACTGAATGACAAGATTTAACCGCAACTAAAAGCCTTACCTCGCGCACATCGTAAATGGCAACATTTCCATTAAGGTCACCAAAGCATAAGAGGTTATTGTCGACTCTGCCTGTTACCATGCCACGAGCGACTTCGCTTCCATTGCAAACCGCATAACGTCCTAATGGGGAACCCAGTGTGACGTCCCAAATTCGAACACTTGCATCTGATCCAAGACTAGCTGCACGTAACCCGTCGTAAAAAAATGAAGCTGTTGAAATAGAACTACGAAGTTACAAGAAACGGTCAGGCATACCCCTGGTGTGCTTTCATCTTCCGAAGATGAAACTTGTTTTTGTCCGTAGTACAAATACGCAGAGTTCCGCCTTCTTCACCCACAATGACAAGTTTCCCATCATTTCTAAAATTACAACAAACTACTCGAGCCGAAAATCCACTTAATTTACGGAAACGTTTATCACTATCACATTTGTAAAGATTGACCTAGAATACTCTACAAGAAAATCAAAAGTCACGTACATTATATCCATCTGGAAGACCATACTTGTAAGGAGGTGTTACGGAAATAGCAACCGAGTTAATGCGATGTGCAAGTTGTAATGGTTTTCCATTCTACAAGTTGATTTATCACCTTCTCAAACTAACTTTATAGCTGTCCCAAACATTTATAGCTTCCTTTTTCTGTACATACGGAACTAATATACTATGAGTTGAAGGCATCATGATTCACTTAAGAGTAACGCATTGATTGTATATGCGGTTCAGGCAGTTCAAATAGTTGTGGACGAAATAAACTTTCTAGCCCAACAGACTCTCATATTTGCTAATATTAATGACTTTACTAAATATTTTGTTTTTGGCACAATATAAAGTTTTCAGTACAAAGTGTTTCAGCAGGTTTACTTTACAAAACAGGTGAAAAAAACGATAGGTGCAGACATAGACGAATAAATTAAGCAAATAAACTACCTGGAGTTAAATGAATTGTTTTTTTGATGTATATTTGGATATGTACATTTCTTGATTCAAGAATACAAGTTGTTGACTAGGTCCAAATGGTTCGAATGTTTCAAGTGATTTTGGACGGAATAGAAGGAGCTTTCGCTTAACGAGCTTCCGTGTCTAATAGCGGTGGATCACCAATACTTCCAGACAGGAACCTAGGTATATCAGTGATAAGAGAGGAAAAATTGGTAAATCGTATTAAGATACTATACCTACTGCTTAAAAATATGTCAAGTTTTCTTTTAAAGTATTCCTTGGAAGTCGCTTGGAATAGCTCAGCCGGCAGCGAATTCCAGAATTTGACTACTCTTACGTAGTAGAAGTTGTGCCTACGGTTCGTTCTGCTATGTTGTTTCTCTATTTTATTGGTGTTTTCCCTTAGGTTTGTGTTTGATCTAAACTTAACTAAGTGTTTGAGGTGATGTCCAGAAATGTTAAGGATGTTGTGAGTCTTACGAAGGTCACTTCCAAGACGTCTGTATCCTAACGGGTACAACTTTAGTGATTGGAGGCGCTCTTCATAGGGCTTGACTTTGAGTCCCCGAACTGATTTCGTGACTCGCCGTTGGATATGTTATAGAGTGTCTTTATCTTTTTGGAGTGAGGGAGGAAATACTATGCTTCCGTACTCCATATGCGGATGAATGAAACTGTTGAAGTATGTGTGGAAAGTTCATTCGTCAAACTGCCGAAAATGCGCTTCAATGTTACCAGTGCAAGGTTTGATCGAAAGGCATTTTCGTCAAAGTTAGCGTAAGAGTTCAAATCATAGGGTACCAACACTCCTAGACCTATTTGAATTTGAGATTCCCTTAGAGGGGAGTTTCCTAAGTTGTAGCTGTAGTCTGCATTATATCTCAGATAGACTACTTTACACTTTGAAATGTCAAAGGTAAGTCCGTCGTCATCTGCCCAACCGTGAAGTTCAGTTAGATCCTCCTAAAGTGCCAGTATATCCACTCGGTTGCGTATCTCTCTCCAAAGTTTCATATCATCAACAAAAAGTAATACGTCAGACGATACCTGTTGTGGAAGATCGTTTATGCAAATCAAGAAAAGATGTCGTTGTACTGAACTCTGGAGGACCCCACTAGGCATTCCATACCCTGAGAGAAAGTAAAGTTAACCATAACCTTTAAATCCCGACTTTTTAGGACTGAAGCGAGCCGGTTATGTAGAGGTGATTTGATACCCAATCGTTTGAGCTTATTGATAAGACATTTATGGATGACCCTATAAAAAGCTTTCTAGAAATGAAGGTGAATGACGTCAACCTATCACATCGCGACCAAGGATGTTGTCCATCTGTCCACCGCAGTCAGCAGGTTGGTTACAAAGAATGACCCTTTCTGAAAACTATGCTTTATTAGCCCGTTTGTCACAAAGTACATTTGCTAAGTAGGGTATTGCAGAGCTTTCATGCTTTTGTTTGCGTGCATGAACTCTAATGTACAGACGTCTCGTTCTTCCAGAATATATACAAGGAAAAGTATACGGATAAAATGGATGGTTGGTATTTACAAGACTTTAGATATCTACCCGCAACCATATTAATAATGACTTCAATAGATTCACTACACACCCTTGTAACTGACTTCAGGACTCTTCAGAATATAGTAACGTTTTTTCTCAAAATCCTGAGAAAGAATAGTGGTGAACAGTAAAGGATAATAGGTAATATACGAGAATCAATAAATCGTAAGAGAAAATGTATAGTAATACCAAAAGCAGACGGACTCCTTGCGCAGTAAATCAAACGGAATACTTCAGTAACAACAAAACATGAAAAGACTTATAGAGATCAGAGGAAAGGCTTACACTGAGACAAATTACCTTCGACACTGATTATTAAGTAGCCTTCAGTGGTAGACGTTTTATGGGATTGCAATGGGGTGCTGTTCATGTCTAGGGCTAGAGTTAACAGTTTGATATTTAAATGAACTAAATGTTAGACAATAAACAACAGACCATTGTTTAATTAGGAATAAAAGCTCTTTCATTAAACGGAATGTGAAGAGGTAGAGATCGGCATACATGCAGTGAAATCATTGCATACTTAATAGAAGTGTTTTTTGTGGGAGTTGGAAGATCATGCAGAAAAAAAAGAAATAAGAGAAGAGAAACCAACACTTTGTGGCACATTTTCACGAGTCAGTGGAAACGTCGAGCACTTACCTCTCAAAACAATACACTCTCCTCTTCCTGAGAGATGTGGACATAGGTGGTTGGTTATCTAGTTGTCAGTGTTGATGCTGATTAAATTGTTAGGTGGAAGTTGTCTTGATGTTAGGTCAAAGGCAAAACTACAATCCGAACTATTAATTGAACAAACTTCTCACCATTCTCCAAGCTGGACAATATATTATAATGAAGAACAACAGCACAATCTAAGACGCTTTTCCTGCATTTGTAGGCTAACTTATAAGTGTCAGTATGCTCTTCTAATGCAGGTTAAATTAGGAGTACCAAGTGATTTCTCAATGCCTTGATAAAAAGTGATGTAATTACCATACACTTAAATTTACCTTCATATCACCAGATACATTCTTAAACCGTACAAATAATTGCGGAAATTAAATACACTTTGCTGGAAGAAAATGATAGAACACATATTTAATTAGGAAGCCTAAAACAAGGTAAGCGTACGATAATCGTTACAGACAGGTGGGGAAATCGGTAGACTTAACGAATGAGAGAAAAACATTTGTAGTATATGACGAATCCTCGGGAACACGTCATTCTTCCACTTGAAAGACTTCTGATAATTTGTTGGTAGCGAATTCCAGAATTCCACAAAGCATAACGGAAAAACATGAACCTACAATCCATTCTGTCAAGTTATGACTCTAATTCTCAGGCGTTGTCTCTAGAATTTGTATTCGGATTGAGCTATTTAGCGTGGTCTCAGGGATGTTAAGGATGCTTATTCATTAGGTCACGTCTGAGATGCCTATACTCTGACAGGTTGACGTCCAGTGATTTGAGGTGTCCTTCACAATGTTTAAATGTTAGTCCCCGAACTGATTTCGTGACTCACCTCTGGACACGTTCCAGTGTATTCTTATCCTTTTGAAGTTAGGAAGGAGACACTATATTTTCATAATTTAAGTAAAGCCGAATAAAACTATTAAAAAGTGGAAACTTGTACTGTCAAACTGACCAAAAATGTGCCTTGACGTGATCAGTGCAAGGTTTGATTGCCGAGCACTTTTGTCTCAGAGTAAAACTTTAGATTATAGCGTACCAAGACTCCCAGATCTTTTCTAACTCGAGACGCCTCCGGAGGTGAGTCACCTAGTTTGCATGCATACGCTGCGGAATATTTCACACGGATTATTTACACTTTGGAGTGTTGAAAATAAGTCTGTTGTTATCCTCCCGACTGTGGGATAAAGTCAGATCCTTCTGAACTACCAGCTTATCATGGTGGTTACAAACTTCTCTATCAGGTCCCACAATGTCAGTAGAGCAATAAATCAGATTATACTTAATGAAGGAGGTCATCTATGTGAATTGATAACTGAAGAAGTCTTAGTGTTCGACTATGAAGGATTCAACCAGGATATTTGATAGCCTGAGAATAACCTAAGTTTACGCGTACCCTAAAGTGCTGATTATTTAGATATGAAGTAAGTTAGTCTATCAACAGTGACTTAGTATCTTACATTTTGAGCGACGTATATTATTGAGCCTATCAATGGCATTTGGGAGTCAACCTATATTAAGTCAACCTTACTTTTACGATCGAGGATGGCTGGTCACCTGTCCACGCAGGACAACAGTTTGATCATACAGGATTTACTCTGTAGAACTATGGTCTACTCTGATATTAGTACTGCTCTAACAATAGACCTAATCCTAAATTTGTAGATTTGTCATGATATAACTGCCTAATCTATAAGATCTTACGTGGAAGTCACACCATCGACTACGCCAACTCACTGTATCGTAACAATTACCAATACATGATGTAGAACAAGCTTAGGCTAGAGAAAGAACAATATATTTAATATGAATAGAAGAAATACGGTAACATTCAGCAGAGACCACGCCTGCATGGCCGAGCCATGTCATCCGATCAACTCCAGTCCATTCAAATCATTGTTCGCGCCTTCTCCATTGTTAGGTATTTCTCCGTGCTAAATATTGAATACCTATTTTCTGAGTAATCTTGTGTTCAGCTTTGTGGATTGTGTGGTTATGGTCCAATGCCACTACAACTCTTCCCGAACCCGTGTCTTTGGTGTGAAGAGAAGTTTTACGGATAACAACTAGTCATTTAGAACATCGTTTATCAAAGACTCCATAACGTTTGAGGGTATTTAATGAAGTACTACTGCTTGGTACCTTTAAGGTTCAGTGAGTCGGTTTTCTCTGAAAATTAGTGTGATGTGAGCCAGCATCCAATTTTACGGAACAGTGCGTCGGCTGAGGGAATGCAAGAACATTATACTAAGCCGTTTTGCTAATATCTAGATTAGTTATATCAGTATGGCAGCATGGAGTAAGAGGAGTGTCCTCGTTTAAATGCTCCAGTTTCTGATAATAACAATAATATATTTCTGACAGAGCGGGTACACGTCACTTTTTTCAGGCATGATCAATAATTCACAAAATTGATTCGCAGGTAAGTTGCTTTTCAAGTACAAGTGAAATAGGTTCAACTGATAGAGAGTCAAATTTAGAATCCAGTAGGTTGTTCATCAAAATTGAAAGTACATCGAAAGAGGGTAAAATGTCAAGAAACGCTAATATCTATACCTTTTATTATCTGTCGGATCGCACACAAATTTGACCAGCTTTATTTGATGCCAAAGCCTATCTTCTATTATTGCTTTTGTTCATCCGTTTTTTGCTTTACTGAACCGCCTTTATGTGCTCGAGTTGAATAAAGTTGGTTAAAGCAGTAGCATATCTCAACAGATATGTGGTCTATATGACCATCATGTGCTTCCGTCACTAAGATAAGTCTTTGAGTGTAGCTTGTCTGACAATTGAGGAATTAGATGCGGTTGAACGTAGTGTATTAGTCTTAGCGCCAAAGGAGGCGTATGGGGAAATGAGAGAGCCTGGCCTTCTGTAGAGAGCTGAATAACTGCAGAATGTGTGTGTAGATTTATGGTTATGCAAACGTACTGGTGTGAATTCTGTGCTTACGACTGAAATACAATAGTTAGTTAGAAGAGCCATGGTTGAATGCATCCAGAGGTTTCTATACATAACCAGATGAAGCTTGGTGGTCAACGTAAACAAAAGAAAATACTGAAAATCCCTCCACAACATTTCATTGGACAGTGTTGTTATTTATTTGTTTCCTATCCCTGTCTTATATTTTAACCTTTATTCGGCTCTCTTTTGACCGCCCATTATGTTCTTCAGTCTTCTGACTCTGATCTTTTATTCTTTCTAACTTCAAAAGGATAAGAATACACTGGAACGTGTCCAGAGGTGAGTCACGAAATCAGTTCGGGGACTAACATTTAAACATTGTGAAGGACACCTCAAATCACTGGACGTCAACCTGTCAGAGTATAGGCATCTCAGACGTGACCTAATGAATAAGCATCCTTAACATCCCTGAGACCACGCTAAATAGCTCAATCCGAATACAAATTTTAGAGACAACTCCTGAAATTTCAGAGTCACTGTTCTTTTGCTACTAGACATGGAAGTCCGTTGAATAAAAACTTCTTTCCTTTCCTCAACCATATCAATCGTTTGAAGTGGTCGAGCTGAACCATTTGAAGACTCTACGCCGTTTCAACCTCAAGGACGTTGTAGATATTCGAGTCCTTATAATTTTAAGACCGCTGTGATTGTTGGGATTAGGTTTTATGTAGTCTTGTTAACTGTATCTATTAGTGGTTAAGCAAAGATTTGGATTTCAGTGTCAAACATATTCTAAAGAAATAAGAACCATTTGATGTAAAATATGAGAAAAACAACTAAATTTTCGAATGTACATCTGAGACCACTTGATGCGAGTGTCTAGGATTAGAAAAATGAACATCACTGTAGACCTGGGGCTGTTCTCTCAACACCGATATGTTCTAAATCGAGGACATTAGACGAAAACCAATGGTGCTAGTTTTAGGGTGATGTAAAATTTATTCAGAGTCATTATTTTCCTAATAAAGTGATGAAAACGTTTTGCTATGATTGGGACTCCTAGTCCTTATCTCTTGCACTTATTAATAACTTGGTGATGAAGTCCATATTACTACTCTTGAGTGGTTTAATTTCCCCAAGTGCACTTCAATTGCTCTCAAATATCGTCCATTAATTATGGTCTCATTCAAGTTTCTGCTAATTGAAGAAGCTCTAATCGATGAAAACTTTAAAGCTATTGTAGTTTTTCATCAAAATATCTCAGGTCACCTGATCAATCGAATTTGGTTGTGATATCAAAAACTATATTCAAGTCAATCCGGTCCATGAGTTAATTTTCTGCGTATATGCACACCAGCTTTCGGGTTGTAAAGCTTAACCACAAAAACGCTTGATCATTTTACGAAGACGAATCGGTTGCAGGCAGAATTTCTTGCTCCCTTGTAACACATCATTCAGATTTCAGTTACTTAAACGGTTGGGACGGCTGTTTTCACTAACAGATTGTTCAGGAAATTCATGTTTTCTATCTTTGTGTTTCGTATAATGAATACTGTTCCCAGCCTCCATGATCAGCGCCGTCCAATGTCTCTCTGTGTGCTTGTGACTAGGCGGATCCCTAAACTACTTCATCCATACAAGACTTACTGAGACAGTTTGATCAACAGCCCAGTATTCTTTGACACTTGACCAGCCATAATCAGAGAATAACAAGAAGAAACATTTAGTAGTATTTTGGCTTTTCTTATCTACTTCCTGCTCTTCAGCTTATCGGAAATAAGAGCTAGGTTGTGTTAATTCAATACCTTACAAATATTTAAAAACCGTGACTGTAATTTGGAAAAGAATTTGATTCACAAAATTTCATACATGAAGCGCCAAAAAATGATATAACTCATGATACGCGGTACTGTATTTCTTAACAACATATGTCTCTCAAGATTGAGTTTGACCATGTCTTGCTGAATATATTTTGTTTGGAAGCTAGTTGGTTTGGTAATATGAGTTTGTAGTAAGTGAAAAATTGGCTATGCGGTGAATACATCTAGAATTCTAAGGGTTATAATAGGACATTTAACTTTAGTTTTGATTCCTATATCAGTTGAGCTTCATTTGTTTCATGGAAGTGTCTATCGAACTTAAACTCTCATGTCACCAAAATCAAGCCTATTGGCATTTTAAGCAAAGCAGTCGTAGTTCAACATGCAGAAAAGCTGTTATTAGTATAATATTTTGCGTAATAACCCTTGTACTATGTAATGTTCCTAATACAGCTCTTAAATTTTAGGTGCGTCTTGTGCATGTGGGTCAACCAGGGCTTAAGTGGTAAGCTTGTCATATCTAGAATTCTTCTGTGGTGAAACATCTTCTTTAATGTCAGTTTGCAGGAAATTCGGTCGAAATAATGGTTACTATTGGTTCATCGTTCTTCCCAAATGTAGCAAAAGCCTTATTTCCCGGAATTCACATAGCTCTACAAATGGTGTTGAAATGACTAGAATGCAACAGCACTATGCTCTGTTAAATAAGAAATGCGAAGGTAATATGTTGGTTTACTTTTAACTAACACCATAATACGCGTCCCTATGTGTACTAATTAGACAGTTTGTCATTGATTAATAATTTAGTTACTTGAACTATTTCCTGAATAGGCGAACATGTGAAAGGCATATTTACTTGGCAGATTTCTCTATTATATCACTTATTTTACACTGTTCTGGTTTGTGTCATACAGTATTTATTCCTCTAACGTGGTGCGATAATTTATCAGTCATGTATCGTTTCATATTCTAACTTCGTCTGAACAAAATTTGAGATAGTAGTCTTTTGAGACAACGAAACCTCAATACTATAACTGCGGTCTCTAAAAGCTTGATTATTTCAATGGAATGTTGATAATGACTGACATTTTCTTACCAAAGGTTTGTAAGGACAAAGAAAATTCAGCTAAAAATTTCTTCCCGACAAAATCATTTACTTAAGCTAAGCTCCGTATTGTCTTCTCAAGCCGGCCTACCATTCACGGATGTGCTAAGGATAGACTTCCTCTTTGGGCCACATCGATGTTCATCTACAAATTTACCTGCTCTTGTGGAGCAGGTTAGATTGTCCCCACAAAGTGACCACTTTCCAAACGTATCCGGCGTAGCTTTTACACGGAGAATGCAACTCAGTCACCAGTTCAACACAGGAGCACCTAGTCATTTTTGGATACATCGCTCCAAAGAAGTGTTGCTTCAAAGTAATCTACACAGTCAAAGGAACTGGATTGAAGGGAGGATGGATAAAAAACTTATGCACTGCTGAGGCGTTGGTGATCCACAAATCTAAGTCCGAACTCTGCGCACAAAAGCAATACGTCCAACTTCCCTAAGAATTTTTGATATACAAAATGCTTCGTCTGTATAGCTCATGATTTGCATAACCTCACAAGCACTGAATTTAATTTTCGCCATCATGTATTATTCTGAACACTAAGATTTGCTTCAAATTTTTTCCATTTAACAGTAATATCATGAGTTGTATTAGTGGATATGAGCTTCAATCTTAAAGTAACATTATTTGATGGTAATTTTGCTCCTTACCACTGCTTTAATGAAATTACTATTCAAGAAATATGTAAAATCTATCGTGTCTTGTTTGTCAAGTTATGGCTAACTTTGAAATTATGTTGATTGAACAAGTGAATTATGAAAATTCTTAGGGTTATCAGATCAGAATGTAGCGTCTATTTGTGTAGTCACCAACGGTTAACATTGCTGTGTAGTATGTAGATGTCCTAAAGTTTGTCAAGTTGGTCATGCTAGCATTGTTCTTCAGGGTGATCAGAAGACTGCAAATTATCATCCTCCTCACTAGATAAGACTATCTCACCTGCATATTCTCAGTTGATGAATAAACTGGGTAGGAGATCAATTCCAAAAAGGGTGGAAAAGTGTTGGTTCCAAGAGGATATCTATGGTGTAATTAAAGAAAAGTTGGTCCAGTGGGAAACACTGACGAACACCACTTAAGGCTAACAATTCTGAGGACAGTTCGTTATAAGTTCTGACTCGACTAATAGTGTCTGAAAGGAGAGACCTCACCAATTTTATGTACTTTTTTGATAAGCCCTCAAATAACAAAAAGTGCTACAAAACCTCTCGGTCAACGGATTTGATTGCTGTCTTAAGGTCACGAAATACAGTCGTCGAGCGCCAATAGGTGTTCATATGTTCCAAAACCTGATAAACTGAGCATCTGGTCAGTCCGTTCATCCCAGGTCTGAAACCAGCCTGGCTTTCCTTTGGTTTGTTCTTCACAAGCCCTAGTAGAGCGTCAGACGGTCGATTTGAATAATATTTTAGGCACTATGTTACTAGAGTTGATTCTTTTGTTTTCATCACAAGTGGATTTTTTCCCTTTCTATAAACTGAAACGATCAGCAATCGAAACCAGTTAAGTGGTATTCCGTCTAGCTCCCAAATCCTAGCTAGTGTCTTCTGTTAGCTTAGTTTATAAAACTAGACCTCCAGACTTAGAGATCTGTTGTTAATCCATCAGGGTCTGATGCTCTCCCTTTCTTCAGACTGACTATAGTCCTTTCATCCTCACTGAGATTTGTAGGAATTGTGTCAATTCCTCCATTCGGGTTGTTTGGAGATAGTTGGAAGGTCTTATCCCCTTGACCAAGAGTGAGTAGATCAAATCAATGTTTTATTGAATTTTTATTGATACTATTTTTTTGTTATAACTTGTGAATCGAATCCGTACTTTCCATCATATCACCTTTCACCTCTTCCGAGACTTCACTCGTTTCATTTAACAATCCTAGAACACATAACCACATTCGATCAAGTTAATCCGCGGGATGTATTTGTAAATAATGAAGTAAAGTTGAGCAAAATTCAAGTGTACGGGTTTGATTATGATTACACATTGGCTCATTATACATCCGCGTTGGACGAATTTATTTTCAATGAATCTCGTAACTGGCTTGTTGAACAGATGAAGGTCAGTTAACTATGTCATTATGTAAACTATGAAATACACTGTTGAAAATAATTCATGAAACATGTTTATATATTTCCTATTTTTACTTTTTTTTTCAAGTTGGCAGCTTCAAATAAGTTTTTGGATTCTTAAGCAAAAGGGGCATACATAAGGAATAGGAAATCTAATTTTTAATTATTGTTTTTTTTCAGATGCTACCTTGTATTATGTTACTTAACGTTCAGTGATATCAATCTTTTACGTCTTACTGTGTGTTGTTCACAAACCAATTTTACTTGAAGTTCCTGTAAGTACTGTGATACTAAAACCCATGAACTATTTTTTCATATCAGCAAAGGTGAGAAAATACTTCTTTAACTCGGTGTAGTTGCTATATATCCTGGTCACTCACAGCACATAAATGAATAAACAATCTGGCTAGTAATTTTAACTAATTACAGAGGAATAGTATCCATCTCATATAGTGAAAACAGTGTCTGAAATTAACTGTTTTCATCATTCTATAGGTCAGTGGGGGCTGTATTTCATTTCGATTCAGTTTCAAGCCGTTTTATCAGTGGAAGAAATTGGGGATAATATGCTTTATGCTCGACTTTTTAAAATCTATGTACTATTATGTCGTTTCGAAGACTTTCAACCAAAAGTTATAGAAAGTGAGAGTAGTTATCAGTTTGACAAAACAACTCAAGTCAAAAGTTCATATTATTTACCTCTTTGTTGATGACTCTAAATCTGACAAACACACTTCTAAGTTAATTAACATATAATTTATCTCTTCAAAGTGTTTTGTACCAATACTTAACTAGTTAGGTTACACAAAATAATGGTAGTAGTCCTTCAGGAGCTTATTTAAAGTTGTTCAATCGGATAGTTGCTAGCAGTGGAATCCAGAACATGCGTTTCGTCCCGTAAGTGAGTAGGACTTCCTTGGCAGAGGAAAGTCCTACTCATTGCCTTCTCGTGGCGGGGGTGTTGTTTACGAAAATGAGAGGACGAAAAGCGAATATCCGGCGCTTTAACCGGATTCCAAACCAATGGTGCACTTAGGCTCTAGTATCCTGCGGGAACAAATGGCGTATGAACCAATTGTTGGTCACCGGCTTCCACAGGACTGCATCTCCTTACGATGCTCCACTGCCTTGTGGACCAGATCTTCAGGTCGAAGGCTCGGGGAGTAGCCTCCTAAGAAAGCCACCTGCTTCGGTTAGGGCACCCGGGCAGTATCACAGCCCTCACACTTATCGAGTAAGATTTGTGTGGCGCATATGTATTTGCTGCATCATTGTACCAATATCTATGTGTTAAAATAAATAATAAAATAATTCATCAATCTGCAAATCATAATCAGAGTCTTTAATGTTTGTATCATTGTTAATGCTCTAGCAGTAACTAAATGGTACATTGATGTGTGAATCCATGAGTTAGTTTTTCTAGTTTTCAAGCTTTATCGATTCTCTTCAGACATATATTAGATGAGATCTGAGAAAAAACTTGTATTATATGAAGTAAGGATAAGTAAAAAGACAGATGCAAGAGTAATCGGCCAATTAACAACAGATCATATTGTCCTATTCCTCTTGACTTACGATTCCTATTATATATTGCTAATATTTCCTAAGTATCCATATATGGCGATACTTCCCATGTCCCACCAATAGACTATTAGTGGAATTTATTTCATTCTGTATATATTACCACTAAATTTCTTGAGGCCAAAATCTAGTATAGGGTTTAGGAATTATAAGTTCATTTCGTTTAGAAGTGCTGAATAATATGTAACTAAAACAGTTAAGACAATTTAGTTGTTCTGTAAATTGGACCAGTGCAAGTGTTCTACTCAATAATTCTCTATATATTTATATTTTTCAGATATTTTTGTCATTCGAAACCAATGTAATAAAAATGGGGTTCTTACTTTTCTGTTCAAATATTTTTCGGTCCCGTCCATTTCCAACCCTAAATGGAACGCATAATCCATATAATGCCATATGTAATTAATTATTGTTCAATGTTTCAAGTTCCAAATACATAGTCATTTGTGTGATATGCTCTAATCTTGCCTAACCTAGTTTAGTTAAACTACTCGTATAGTGCTTCCAACTGTCACGCAATAATTATACTTTATTATATACCACCGTGTTAGCAGGACAAAGGCTTACTCAAGGCCTGTGTTAAACAGGATCACGTTGAAGCGCGCTGATTGGTCCACTTTTAACCGATTAGCGCCAATTGATGAACCGAAATGACAAGAATATTACAGTTTAATGTTTGTATATACACTGACATTTTGTTACTGAACGGGAATTGCCGTTTCGTTTGGAATAAATTTATGTTCTGTCCAAGTCGTGTTTCGATTTGAGAATTAGTCGAGTGGAGTGGTGTCCAAGATTACTAGAGCAAATAAGGAGACTCAGCACGTAAATAGTTCCACTTGTTTACTTTGTTGTTATACGGTTGAACCGTTTAATATCTTTGATTTTTGATTACCAGTAAATAAACTAAAGCATGATGTTGTTTTTATGTCAGTCAGCATTATTTTTGAAAATTTCGGAATTTGTTATTTAATTTTACCAATTCAGATATAAATAATTTCTCATTTTGTAATCGGTCTTCTTTTTTTAAACTATTTTGCACTCATTCAAATTTCCTTCGAATCACAATCTTCAACAAACACAAGTATCCTGAAGAAATTCTGAACTATGATTATACTGAGTTCGCTAGACGTGGTTTACATTTTGATGTAAAACGAGTATGTCACCTCATTACTAATAAAATTAATTTCCCCAAATTATTTAATTTAGGAAAGGTTTATTATAAAATGACAACGACACAAATGATTTGTCTTAGCAATTAATGATAAATGTTTACTGGTCAATACAAGTAGATCAGATACATCATTATAACCATTATTATTATTATTATTATTATTATTATTATTATTTTAATCGCACGTCAGTCTTATGCACAGATTGTCACTAGACAATTATTTGTCTATATAAAGGATGAGGAACAATTAAAAGACAGTACTATGACCCTAATTGGCAGAAATGTAACAGTGAACTATTAAATCTTTCAACTACCATGGTGACTACCAGAACTCATACGACCGATCCTCAAATCCTGAGCAAATGACTTCAGAATGCGATGTCTCTGGGATGCTGACTGAATATTTAGTTGGTGATTTGAGGCTGTCGTTTATTTATAGTATATTCAGTAAAAACCACATGACAATGAAATAATAACAGGAATCATCAGGTATAAGAATTAAGTTCATAAAATAACCAGTGATGTTTCACTTCTGGTTGTTCTGAATGCAAACCAACTGAAATCGATAAGTTTGTGAGAGAATGTGGTTGCATGATTTAATTATGGTTCATCAATAACTTATCTAAAGTTCTTGCATAGTGTTATGGTTTAGGAAACTATTACGAGATCAGATCAGTCAATAATAATGATAATAATAATAGTTTCGTATAAATGCAATCTCTAACAGTTCAGCTTTTAGTGAATAGTATTGAGGTTATTTCCTGGACTTGTTCAATACATAATTATTAAAACGGCATAATACGGAATAAATTAGGCACTATCTTTTGCCATCTATGTACTGCTGACTTCACTGCAATAGTATGTTCCGATCGAAACTGTACTATTGAGTAGTCAATGTATCATTGAGTATCTAGTCTGATGCAAATGATTAGGTGGAGTTCACACCTATAATCCAGCTTTGATTACATTGGTTCTATGATGGTCAAACTCTTTCAAAAAAGAATAACTGTATGGTAAGGTTTTATGTATCGAAAAATTTGTAGGTGTTTTTGCAGATGCTTTTTTAAGCTCATCATATGCAACCATATGTAGGATTTCTTTACAGACAACTTATTGATCTTTTGTTTTCTTATGGTTATTATTTTAATGTCTAGGGCTTATTAATGAAAGTAGATGCATTTCATCATATTCAACTGGATACTGTTTATCGTGGATTTAAACTACTGTCATTGGATGAGATATTAAAAGTTTATCGTGGGAGTCATTTATCTAGTGATATTTTAAAACAAAAATTTACACCTAATGTAAGCTTTTTGTTCATCTATGAAGTATATCATTAAAATCTACTAGCTTTATCATATGTCGTTAAAAAATTTTTTTAAAACTTCCTAGTAGATACTGTCTTAGAGACAAAACTTTCTTCAAACAACTTTCTAGAGATTAATATTCTATCAGGAAATCTACCTATTGACTTCGACTATATAAATGACAGTTCTGTTTGTTAATGTCTAATGAAATCCAAAGTTTTCTGATCACTTTGATCAACAATGCAAGTATATCTTAGGTTCGTTTCTTCCCCCTCTAAAGGCTAAATCTCGCTTTCAGACTGGTATGCATCAATGCCTAAACTAATATTAGGGAGTAAATTCATTTGGGACTGAAGGACTTGACAATCATAATATTGGTCACCACTCAGGGATCAGTTGGTTGTAAATATTCCATTCCTGTAGGAGGTCAGTCAATGCCTAAATAACTCAATGGTAACGTCTCACACAGGAGGGATGAATGACACAGGATTAAATCCTCCGGGAAGCACTGCTCCCCTCAAGGTTACAATTATACAGTTATCTTTTTTTCAACTAACAGTTTTCTGTGTTTCACTTTGGAGCTGTGGAACGCGGTATTTAAAAGTAAAAATCATCTTTAGATTAGTAGTTTTTGATTTTTCATTTAAAATTCGAATTTAAATTAACTCACTAGGTACTTGGGCATAAGCCTCAGACTGTGTGTAAGAGCTAATGGATTTACCTGGTTGCTCAGACCGAAGTAGGTTGGGCGAGATTCAAATCTGAGACTTGATAACTGAAAGTCGAACACCTTGACCAATAAGCTATCTCTCCACATTTATTTGATTGTTGTGTTTACAAAGCATTGCTTGAGCAATAATGGCTTCAAAGAAAGATAGAGGTGACCAGACTAAAACGGAACATCAATCCATAGAGAGGTTAACTATTGATCTGAACCATGTTGGTAGACGCAAACTATCTGTTTGAGGTCCACAGCTTTATCGTAACCAGTGATTGTAGTCGTTGGGTGACATGACTCAAAATTAGTTATAGTGGCACAGAATCATTTACGTTTTGTCTTTTCTTAGTTCTTAAGTTTAGAAATTATTTTATGCCTTTTATTCCCCGAATTGTTTCTTCTTTTTACTGACATTCCTACTGCTACCACTACTTTGGTGTTCATCCTGACAATTTGACCTCATCATGCTTATATGGTATTACGATCTGGGTTAATAGACGTTTGTTCTGTATTTCAGATCCACTTGAAGACTGTCTTGGTCACGTATATATATTTCCGAGTAAAGCTGAAGGGAATTCAGAATACCAGACTTATCTATACAGTATCAGAAAGATTTCAATACAGAACATCATACGAACATTTATCTAAAGCAATTGGAACTAGAATTAGTCATGCTAAGGATAAAACTTGAAAAGTGGATCGCGCTGAAGAAACTACAACATAAAAGAAATAATCCTGATCCCTATGACGATAGTTTAATAAAAAAAATATGAACAACCTATGTCGAGTGCAGTTCCATGTCATTTCGAACGTTATTTAGAGCTACCTAAGCCAGAAGTACAGAAGTTTGATGGCAATCTACAGAAGTACTGCGCCTTTTTGAAGGAATTCCTAAGTTTTTGAACAAACGACGAAGGATGATTCTAAGCAGCTTAACAATCTAACTCAGTTTTGTACTGGACGAGCTAAAAGGGCTATCGAACATTGTTTCATAATGGACGGATCTAAATGATTTACGTGAGCTAGAGATATTGTAAGAAAACGGTTCGGACAAAATTATATGGTTAGTAGGTCCTTCATAGACGAAACAGTAGGCTAACCACCAATTAAAAGTCGTGATTTTATGGATCTGTCCGATCTAGGACAGAATAGAGTTATGGCGTTCAGAACTTCAGTTTCATTTCTACCTTCGAATTTTAGATCTAAGTGGGTAGAGATGGACGTAGTGTATATGTGACAAGGTGGAGAGCTTAAATCTGTAAATTTAGCTAAGTTCGTGGTAGAACGAGCAGATGTAGCAAATCGGATAAACGAGTTAAAGGAACTTTACTTCAAACATTATTCAACACTAAGAATAGTATTTTTTTCTTTGTGGTATTCTCCCGTTAACAATAAGCAACGGAATAAGAGTCTAGTCTGTACCACCTGTAATGAAATCCATTCCTCTTACCAGTGTTGCACACTGGAAAATTGAACACAATCAGAGAAAAAAGTCATAACGCTTGTGTCTAAATGTCAAGCATATGGCTAGAAGTTATCAAATCCAAAGAGGAAGTACTATCGAAGTATGTGGCAGGCGACATCATACATTGTTATATGTAACTAGTGATGTTTCTCAACCTGATGCACATATTAGTATTAATCACGTTTCAGGATATCGACTTATGACTAAAGTGACAGTAGCATCAGAAGAGCCAAGAGCAGCTTTGGCAATAGTTCCGGTGATTCTTTGTTACGGTAATCGAACAAAAAAACTCTAGCTTTCTTCAACAGCGGTTCAAACTCAACTCTCGTCTTGCGAGAACTAGTGAACGAATTTGAACTCGAGGTCAAAGGTGTCCACATTCGATTGGCTGCCATCAATCACTATAGTGGGCGACGGGCCGTAACCTGATTAGATTTGCGATCATGCGAATCAGACTATTGTATGCACGTTGAGCGGGCTTACGCAGTGCCAGTTTTGTCTAATGCAAGACGTGTAGAACCTAATGTCAAACAACTATAGTCCTTATGTCATTTGAAAGATGTAGAGCTGAAGAAATGTAAGACTGAACGTGTTGGATTGCTGATAGGATGTGATGTACTAGGGGTTTATAGAATTTCACAACAAAAGTCAGGCAAACTAAGTGAACTTCATGTGATAAGAACTATTTTCGGTTGGACGTTATCGGAGCCATTTGGTGCTCAGGCGAGAAATCAAATAAAGTTAAATTGACTTCACCTCTCGGAGCTGGAGAAGACCGTTGAGATGCCTTATCAAGACGTGCTGGATGAAGGTCGAACCAACGGAAATGATATGTCAGTGGAAGAAAAGTTGGCTCTGAAAACCATGGAAGGGGTCTGTTGTCTCGAAAATCTTTCGAACGTTTCCATTCGTATTCAACGGAGTCGAAGAAAAACCCTTCTTCGAGATAGCAAAATAAGGTCTATTCGGCAGCGCAATTATCATCGTTTGTCTTTATCACCCCTTTATTCGTATAGTCCATCTTCATCCATTTCATCAGGTTCCTTATCAAAAGTAGACGATCCTCGATCCATAAATAATGGTTCTCAAACCGACTGTTGTTCTCATCCATCTAGTCATTTGTACTTTGGTTATGACTTGATTTTGATAGTGGGGGACAATAAAATTCAGAACTTAAGTTGACGCTTATCTTTTAGTCCGAAACAATCAGTCGTATGGCCCAAAACTATTTAGTTTATTGTTTCATTCTCTAGTTTCTCCGTGGGTGTTAATTATTCTATGTACTCGTCACTACCTTCAGAAATAAAAAAAATCCCCACAAAGGTAAGTTATTTATCGCTGCAGTACGTCGTACTCGATTTGTGATAAACAATTTTGGTGTTCAGTACATAGATTTTAGTCTTCTTGACTATAAATAATAAGTTCTATGGGTCGCGTCAAAAGGATTATCTCACATCTGTTGGATATGGATTTCATGATGGTGATCATAAAACTCATGGCCTTCCCGGACCCACTCACAAAAACTACAAACTACATGTCCTATGATTTACTTTTCAAGAACTCTTGGTCACTAAATAAATGTGTAACTACCACTTAGGTTTTTGTTGTACATTTTAGGACACCATTATGATTCAGTTGATGGATCTTTTCCGATTACCGGAAATTAATCTTCTATGTTCTATTATAGATGTAAGTCTTATTATTAGAATCTATTATTTAGCGCTTACAAATTTTTAAAATTATCATTATTTTACTTAAAAATACTGTCACTCTTCATTTATGTTTTTGTTCCAATTACTATTTTGTATCTGGATCAGTTGGCCGATAAGTTTGTTTATGTTATATAAAGAAGTCGTTCAGAGAAGTTTATTGGTTTTAAAATACCTTTCAAAATAAGCTGATATCGGTGAAAAAACCACTAGTTTTCTGTTTCAGTTTAGTCTGAGCTAATTATTTACGATGAAACAGTCAAGGAAAAGCTTCAATGTTTGGGAACTACAAAGTGTTTCTTGATATTATCAGGTCGTTGTTACCAAACTTTCCACTAGAAACCAAATTAAAGGTAGTGATAATACCATTAATACAAAGACCTAAAATAGTACAGTCAGTTAGAAACAGGGAACAATAACCACACATACCAAACAGTAATAGGAACGCAACGAAATTACTCAATGAGGAAACTAGTCATATTTGTAAAACAGGTACAATTTCATGACCTATAGTTAAACAGAGAATAACCAGTTCAAGGTCAAAACTATGTATTAGTGATATGTTTTTAACATAAATTTTTATTCATTGATTTATTCTTACCAGTCGAGATTCATACTTATTTACTAATCTCCTTATTAATAAAGATTTGGGTATTATTTATTAGAATCTGACACTGATTTAAAGTTGTACTGCCCGTTAGCTTTCTCTGAGATTATAAAAATCTTGGGATTACAGGGAAACAGAAGGTGTAGCTGTTAGACTATCAGTTTCCCTAGTTGTCACTGATTTGATCATGGACTCGTCGGAAAAAAATGTAATCTCAAAATGTTCTTTTCACCTAAAATCTGGTCAAGTTACTTTGAAAATACATTTTTTATTACAAAACAAGATGGATTAGATAAACTTTTTGATCATGTTAACAATATGTCAGATGGAATCAAGTTCACTAGATATGGAATCTGATGACCACAAACTAGGATTTATTGACTGCTCATTCGAAAGAGAACGCAATGATTATTTGCGGATTGATTTATCCCAAAAACCAGGATTCCGAAAAATACTCAACAGACAGGTCACCAAATTACTATCAGTGACGGTAACAGTTGCAAAGATTGTGATTAGCAGATTTCAACAACTGAAGCATTAAAAGACCTAGTTAGATTTAATTGTAACTACAACGATAATAAATGATAATCTTAAGGACTTTATAAATAAAATAATTGAGAATAGGAACGAAAAATTGCATATGAAGGTCTGACTGAATGAGTGATTACTTCAGTGTATCTGTGATACCGTAAAGAATCTTTAGCAAATATCTGAAAGATCCCATACCATGAAAACGTATGAATATTTTTGCCTTTCAAACTGTGCTGTACGTTTTAAGTTAGCAAAAATCAAACATACTAAAAAATGTTAAACTGTGAGATCCTGCGATTCTTCTATTAATATACAAGCTTCCAAACCAGCTACTTGAATGAAAAGGGAGCTTGAACGACTAAAACCTAATTCCATATAAACCTTAGATAACTCGAAAACGTTTTGTAGACACCACTAGATTTGGCGGAAACTGATCACTTGATCGACTTGGATAGAACAAAAATCATTCGGGTAGATTTTTTCCGTTTGCAAAATATAGTCAACTCTTATCAGTTTTATAAAGTACATATTAATCATTCCAACAGTAACTGAATAGACAGAACTACTTGGAAATTAAAAATAATTAACCCAATAAAAACAGTACTTCTGACAAGAGCCCATCAACTTGAATGATATATGACAACTTAGAATCAATTCTGACAGGAAATAGATAAAATAAAAACAGGAATAAAAAACATCGGTTCACTGAATAAAATCTGACTAGAAAGTTGAAGTTTGAGTAAAATCAAAATCTTATCTAGTTTTAAGCTAATCACTTTTATGTTTCCGGCACCAATTACAAGACTCAGTAGCTAATACAATCTTGAATTCACTTTTATCATTAGGGAATTTTGTTCAAAATAGACACAGGATTATTCGTTTTTCAGCATTTCAAATATTATTTTAATACAATCAGCATTGATCAAAGGCCTAATGTATTTATTCTGCTAGATTACTAAGTTTAACTAAAATTCTGATCTGTTAAGTAAATTTTTTATGCTTACTAAAATATTATAATAAACTGTCTAAATAAAAATCTTTCAGTTGCTGTTGTCATGGAAGCTTGATGAAAACACACATCTCATAATTGTAATTATTCAACAAGATTTTCGTTGACATTTTTGTTTTACATTTTCTTAAGGATAATTTTCTCTACTAATTGATATAAGCTGAATTAGTATTGATAGTCGAGTGAATTAAGACTTTTACAATGGACATTTATTTAATTAAATAATATGTTGATATCTTAATTGAGACAAGAACTTTGAGTTACTCGAAACCTAAAAACAAGGACGTTTTTCATTATCTATACGAATATTCGTTAATATTAGAACGAATAGTTTGAAGAAAATTGCGCGCCAATTATGAAGAAGTCATTATGTGTGGAAATTATATTTGAAATAATCTCAGCGATTAAAATTTAAATAATTTCATTGTTTCGTCCAGCAAACTTGTCTGGACTTCTTCAACTTGCACTTTTATTTTTCCTTTATATAAAAGCAAATTTAACACATGATATCAATCATTAATAACTCACTCTTACAAATACACGCACAATTCATTCATTTTCATGTTGTGAACTTTTTACGTGATTCTCATTTAACCAACTCATGTTATCCTATTTACCAAAGTTAACATCCAAATATGATTGGATTAGCACAATAAAGATTTGATTTGATTATTAAACACTATACATTTATTTGATAATTTTGATTTTGATTATTACCCTGAAGAAGTTCAGACCGGTTTGCTGGACGAAATGTTGGAAATATTTAAATTTCAATCGCTGAGATTATTATTTCAAGTATAATTTTCATGTATAATGTTCTCCATTATCCTTTGATTTCCAATTATTACTATTTATTTACTGCTACAATGACTTTTTTGACAATACTTTGCTTTCAATCAACCAAATAATTTTTTTCTCATTTACAGTTTTTTGATCGACATGGAATAGATTATAAGCCTGTTTATGTTTATCAGGATGTTTCTGTAAGTGTTCTTCAATTATCTAGTAGCATGCAGAAGTTTCATTGTATTGTTGTTATTATTATCACTTATAATCGTCACGAAAGCACTATAAAATTATATAAGCCTCATTTTCCAATTAATATTTGCAGACACTACATGATAAACATACCGGTCAGCGAAAAAATATACCGAATATTAGGTCAGTATTTCTTGATTTTATTGTAAAGTATGCGTTGAACATGTGATATATGGAATAAAAATCATACTACCCACTTATAAATTAATTCAGTGACTGACTGTAGGTCTTTAACAGAGTATTTCCAACATGTTATTGATTTACGTTTATATACGAATATAGCATTTTCCGGTTATACTGTCATATTTTATATTCATTGTTAATTTGATCCTGTTTTAAAACTCATTATTATGGTATGTTCACTATCACTTCGTCTGTGCATAGTAATTAAGTACTAAGATTTTTCAGACGTACATCCTTCTCAATAAATAGTCTAAATTCCTTATTATCGTACTTATGTCGAATCGCTACTCCTATATATCATGCTCTGTAGATATTCAACTTCCAAGTGATGTGTACATTAATCATTATAACAACGCATATAAACGAACAATTGTTTTCAATTAGATCGTCATCGGGCTGTACTCTAATATACATGAATATTTATACGAAAATGTTAAACCAATCAAAGCAATTTGGGTCAATAGTCACAATGAAATAGAACAGGTCACTACACATAATAAGTAAAAATACATGTTGATAGTAGGAAGACAGGTGTACTGATAGTAGTAAAAATAATGAAATACGATAACAGTAGCCTTATCAATAGTTCGTGGATTGTTTGAGGTTAGACATTAACACCATTGGATGCCGGCTCAGTGGTTCAGTAGGTTAAGCGTTCGCACGCAAGACTGAAGGCCCTGGGTTCGAATTTCACGAGCGGGATCGTGGATGCGCACTTCTGAGGAGTCCCACAACAAGACGAGACGGCCGTCCAGTGCTTCCGGGTTTTCAATGGTGGTCTAACATCAGTCGGTTCATGATCTCAATCAAAAACAATAGTTAAACGTTGGAAATAGAAGGTCAAACGTGGGTAAATAGACTTGGAATAGCCATCACAAAACATTAAAATCATTACGCAATAAGAAGTGTGTAAATAATTAGGTCCCGACTGTTGTTGCTACCTGGACGTGGTGGTCGGGCTTGCCTATCGTGATGAAGCAACCGAGCTATACTGGCTGGAACAACCGTTTCTCAAGGTCCTACCATGTCAGACAGGTCGGTTGAAGAGCGGTAAGACTAAAAGCAACAAACCCAAGGTCCGAAGGCGAAGTCGTACTGCTGACTGTACGGAGGTGTGACAGCAGTAAGATGTTTCATCCAGACAACCAGCATGACAGCGATGCTGCCTTCCCACAAGGAGGGGTGGGGTTAGAAAAGGTCAACCCTAAAAATGCACACCGCATTATCCCACGGATATCCGTCTCAGGCGGTACGGTCTCAACAATTACGAAGCTAACACGAAAATTACTCAAAAAAGTCGTGTGTGATCGACCTCACTCAGTAGTCTCTTGGGCACTGCAGTCACTCTGTCAGGTCACTAAGACCACGTCTAACCCAAATTCCTATTCAGGTACCTCTAGGGAAACCCTTCCGCGGTGTGGGCAACCGGGAAGTGAAAACCGCCCTCATACCTCTAACAGCACTCAAGACCGACTGAAATAATTAGATAGTGAAGAATACAAACGGAAAGAGGCGGAAAATTACAAGCAAATAAGGGATGTGAAAATAAGGTTAATGATGTCAAAAATAGAATTAAATAAATAATAAAAATTAGCAAAAAAAATCGTTAGTTAAGTTATAACTGGTCATAGAAGGGGTAGGGGGGTTACGAATTTCTTCGGTACACATAAATTGGGATTATATATACGAATTCCTATGGCTTCAGCTATATGTGGGAGGCGGGAACGAACTTCGTTGGGAAATGATGGAGGTATACGATAGATCACTCGAAATGATTTCGATTTATCTACAGCATGACCTCTATCAATAGGATATGCCAAGATAGAACTGCGAATGTTTTTATCTGGCCCTTTATAAACCAAGCTGGTAGATGTTCACTCATTCGTTGGTTAAGTTGCCTGGTAGTACGCCCGATATGGCTGTCTCCACACGAGCAGCTGAATTTGTAAATGCACATTGAGGTGGCCAACTCAGGTAACTTATCCTTCGTTTGGGTAGACATCGCTGGTCGACGAGAGAAAGTCAATCGTACATATAACCCCAATTTATGTGTACCGAAGAAATTCGTAACCCCCCTATCCCTTCCATGGCCAGTTGTAACTTAACTAACGATTTTTTTTGCTAATTTTTATTATTTATTTAATTCTATTTTTGACATCATTAACCTTATTTTCACATCCATTATTTGTTTGCAATTCATAGGCGACATATTTGTAAATTTGTCTATGTATGTGTGCATTGTAAGGATGAAAGTTGTGTGACCTTCGTGATGAGGAAGAATAGAGTTTGATTTGTACGGTGATAGTGTGAATTGTGAATAATATCAGACTAGGTGGCTAGGATAGATAGTCCAAGTAGAACAAATGATAAGGCCTTCTTTTCTATTGAGAACAGTAGGATTAAGCATTATATGGAACGCTTCATCTACTCTCCTTTCTTTGTAATTGGAAAAGCCTTTTGCAATATTTTGATATTTTTGAAATTAATTTCATGGTCTTTGAAAATCTCATGAACTGCTATTGCCGATTTAATTTGAAGTTTATCCAGTTCTACGGGATTGTTAGGAGGTTTCTTTGTCTACCTAATATGTTCTTTGGCTCTAGTCAAGATTTCGCAAGATGACTCTCCCATATAGAAAGCGTCACAATCGATACAACCTAATTTGTAGATGCAGTTCTGTGTTGACATGAATAGAATTTTTTCTTGATTCGGTTATTTATTCTCTGAAGAAGTGGCTTACACTAAGTCACGAAACATCAGAAAATCTAAATATTCTATTCATTGGGATATTACAAATATATTATTTATATATAACAATCTACCCAATGCTCAGTTTATTCAAAATTATCAAGTCAAACCTTGGTAATGATACCTATATATCTATTTATTTATTTAAAGTCAACATAATAATACTAACAATTCTCATCCATGTACACTTATCTTTTAGACAGCTGTAGCAAGAGTCCATAAATCTGGCCTTCTAGGTCAAACTGTAATGTCTGATCCAGGTAACTTAGTACAGTCTATCTCTAGATAGCATGTGTGTCTTATTTTTGTTCGATAAATTATCAATACTAGTTTTGATCTCACTTCGTTGTTTTGAGAGGTTTGATCGATCACTATCCACTTTGGTTTTCAGCAGTACCTAAACACTAAGGGAGTTGTATTTTTTTCTTACTTATAAAGTTATATCTGTACATTGTTGATGGGTTACCTTTGAGATAGAATATAAAAGCTTTGTTTTTATGGCAATTTAATTTTTAAAAGTTCCTAGGTTCAGATGGTACTTGATGAATTCTAACATGTTTTTCAATATCATTAACAACAATAAGTGTTGACGTCAAACTGTGAAAACTAACGTACTAATGAGAAGCTTCAGAATAGATAGGGACGTTCATTGTATCATAACTTTCATTGATTATTCCACTAATTGGTTAAAGATCTCCATCATATTAAAAGACTAATATTTGAATAATGCCTACTTTTAAGAAAACTAAGTTTTAATTTAACATGTGTATCCAACCTATTGAGAATATGATTCATTTTAACTTTACAGAAAGGTATATTGCGAAGGCACCAGAACTGTCTACGTTTTTATATCGCTTAGTAAAAAATAATAAGAAATTATTTGTTATTTCAAACAGTTCAGCTGCTTACATGTAAGTCTACATCGTTTAAAACAAATCGAAGGAAATTATTTAAAAATATCTCTATAACCAGTCATTTTTCATTGATCAATATTACTATCTTAAGCTTCCAAAACGTACTAACTAGTCAATATGTATCGAATCTATTAACGCATACGTACAAGGTTAATTAATCGTATGGTAAGAAGTCAACCTATTGAAACGCTATGAGAATGCAAAGACGCATAGTAAGGTAAGAAGCCTGTGAAAGTAATACATTATAAACAAGTTTATCAGTAGAGAATAGCTTAACAACAACTCACTTTTATTTGAAGTGGGCGCTAAGAATTCCGTTTAAAATGTCAGTAACACCTTGGGGAATTTATTATTTAATTCAGTGTAAACAACATCACTAAAAGTCTCCTATTACTAAATATTTTATACTAACCATTATCTATAGCTCTAACCTCAGTTTTCGTTTTGTAACTAGTGAACATCGGTGATTTCTTTCCATGGGGAATACAACTTGATTACATTTTTCGCAGAGAAATCACGTTTCTGAAGACATAATATACCAGTAATCACTTTATTGTATATTAAAAAAAATATTCCCTATTAAGACTATTGAATATCTCGATATCATTACTAACAACACAATTAATTCGAAACGTTATCACTGAACGAGTAATAATTTTACTAGCACTGAACAACGTGTTTACTGTTTCTTAAAAGAGGGAATTTCATACAAACAGTATGTTTAACTAATAATATAAATAATTATCTTATCCACATTATTATATTCACTTAGCTTTTTGTTAATTTGATTCTCATTGGTACATTACTTTCGTTCATTCATCAAAGATCACACGACGACTGTAGCTTATAGATTAAGTTTGATCTGTTAAATTGTAGACCCTGATGGGAGCATATTCAGTAAACGAACACCTCGCCATGTTCCTATCCCGTTTCTTCCGCTTCAGTTCAAACAGTCGGATAATAAAACAAACTCCCACACTGAATATCTGGCCCACAGCGGTGTACACCAACCTGTTTTTATAATCAAAATACTTTACTATTATTATGTTTATACTGTATTAGAATGTTACTTTATGGTTGTTTGTTTCCTAAACTATCAACGTTTATTTGTTTTATTCACTCACTAATTTATCCTACTTTCATAATTCATAACTAAAGAGATAGGGGTTTGAAATTTTTGGTTGGAAACGACTGGCAAGAATTATTTGACGTGATCATTTCTAGAGCCAATAAGCCATCGTTCTTTAAATCACCACTCGGGTTAGTCTCACATTTTATTCTATTTATATGTATCTAATTGTATTGTTTATATGACTTCGTTGCTGTATGTTTCATCCGATTCGGTTTCTAATAAGTAATTTTACCCCATCACCAAAAACTTCACGGTTTTCTCATCGTTAGTGTATACCTTACTCTTGTAATACTTACTAGTCCTTAAAATAAAGCCAGGGACTTATTAACCAAATGTATTTATCTTCTTAGAATATCAATGTAAGGAAGTTTCAAAAGTACTGTGTTATGTGATGGGATCGCTCGAAATGTGCTAAATATTTTTCAAATCAACTCCCTTCACTCATCATACTTTCGAGGTTTCTAAAGTTGCGCCAGTTACTCTTAATATAGTTTTGTTGTTTTTAGTGAAGACCTCCTAGCTGTAATTTCAAATTTACGTAGAGTTCGTTTTTTGTTATCATACGAAGTAAAAAGTTAGATGTTTCAAAATAGCGTGGATTTATTTATCATTGTCACTCCTAATGATTTGTTCATGTGCCTTATTTACTGTCACCTCAAATTTTATGTCAAGTATACATCATGCAGTCATGTACTTATCCGTGTAACTTTTGCAAAGCTGATGTTCTCTCAAAATCCTCTAATTTTGAAAATTTTATTTCTAGTTAGTTGTCTCTATTTGAGTAAACGAAATTATACTCTTTTTACTATTTAAGTAGTTAAATTTTCTATGAAAAATTGTTTTGACTATTCTATACTTCCTGATTATCATGTAAATAAATTTTGTTGAATCAACACAAATTGCCTTCTCTAATAATCAGTTCCTCTGTATTGAAACCCATAAATTCAATTTAGTGTGAATAAATTGTTAATAGGCTGATCACTATCAGGATTCACAAATGACAACCTGTCTTGTATGAACAATCATGACTCTCATTTAGGTTCGTTATATTAAACTAGTGGGTCTTTCAATTCATTAACGATAAAACTCATGTATTTTACGGTTAAATATATGTTAATACATTTGATTTATTGATTAACGACGAGAGAATTGATAATAACTATATCATAGAATCTACTAATATGTTGACCGTATTGAAAGTTGGATAAAGTAACCACAGATTAGAAATACCACCCCTGTAGATTCAGTCGGAAATATCTGATTGGCACCACTTTAAAGTATATATATATTTTTTCCCTCGACAAAACAAGTGACAAAGCTGGGAAATGCGGATGCCCTACCAGACCACTCAATGTAATCTTTTAGATAGAAGGATAAGTGGTTATTATTAGTGTTTTCGTTCGACAAATGCAATTTACCACACTCTTAATCATATTCCTCTGACAAGTCGACTTATCCAGATGTTAGGGGGCTCCTATTAGCAACTGAGTCGGACCACGGGTGAGAACATTTTCTTGCAATAAAAATTTGCGATCGAGCTCTTTAGTGTTAATCTTAACATAAGAACTTATAATTATTCTTGAAGTTGCATAACTCAAGATTATTTGAGATTATGGTAAAGAACCGCCTGCTCCATTTCTCTTAAACTCCTAATCCAGTCAAATGAAATTATCAGCCAAATTCACGATCAACAATCTTGTGAAGTTTTGTTTTGATCTCAATACAATACATTTGAATCCTAGTTTAGAAGGTCTGATGACCGATTGTCTGTGAAATTTCCGAAATGAGATAAGGGTTGATCAATGATTATTCTCTTTCAGTGATTAAATACAATAGAACATGAAAATTTTTACAGTTCTTTATCAATATTTCTAAAAGTTTTAAGCGAACTGTAAAACAAAAGACTGAAGGACAAGGTTATGATGTAAATCTGTGCATTTATTTGGAAAAAAATCTGTCTGTTGTATAGAATAAAAAAAACCGGAACAATGAGACTTATCTAGTAATAATAACAATACTTACAATTCAAGCTCATTATAACTCATTCTCTTTTGTATCTGGCTTAGCATATAGTTTAGACACAAGTAGTATGTAATTTCAAGCATTTATTTTTCTTAATCGATTAATTAATTGAACAATTCAAGTCAAAAATATCAGTGAAACTTTTCACTTTCTAATTTCAATACTTTCTTAATAAAGCTTGTTTTCTTTACATTATTGTTTTTATACAAACTGAAATTAACTGGTCGTGATTAATATAAATAAAACAAGACGAACGTGATTTACTGAATAACATGAACTCATTATATTTCAAGGCTTCTCATTAACTGAGAACGATGTAAATATGCCTTAATGATATTATTATGCAACATTTTACATGTTCTTTCTAAATATTAAAATTAAAATTGTAGTCATTCCGACTAAGAGTATATCTGAACTTATGAATGAACCAATTCTTAGCGATTAGTAATGTGTAATATGATATTGTCTTTCGTCTGAGAATATATATATATATATATATATATATATATATATATATATATATATATATATATATATATATATATATATATATATATATATATATATATATATATATATAAACCATATATAAATATCTATAATTGAAAACATACACCGGTTTAATTTGGAAGGTGAATTCCCTTTGTAATCATTCCGCTCATCATCTAAATTTAAACCTTATCTTTCCTGTGAAGTGAGGCCTAGTTATTTGTCATAGCATTTCTCATATTAATGTCCATCATTTTCGGGAAACATATTCTATTGGTTGATTCATAAACACATATCCTTGAGCTTTTTCATTTCATGATTCCGCATCCTATAAATATTAGGTCATATATCCTATCCCATGAATTTTAAGTTATTTTCAAACATTTTGTAGGCAATTTCGACGTACTGATATCAGTGGGACTTTCAAACATTGGGAAGCAGTTCAAACATTTAAACGAGGTCAAATATATGAAGGAGTATGTCTTTAATTACTTGTGATATATTTTCACCATAATGACAATAATAATGATATTCTGCATATTCATTTCCCAATATATGATATCAGCAAATGTTTCTCGATACAAAATATGTTAAGTGATTATAAAGATGTTACGGTAACACGTAAGTACATTCAGCCAATAGAAGTAATTAGTTATTTAAAGTGAGAAGTTTTATAGCAATATGTTCAAGTCTAGAAAAATAGAAGTCGAAAATTTTGAAAAGACCCTGATGTGTCCTTGTCAAATAATAATCAATGTTGACCCAATTTGTTGGTTTATACTGAACAGAGCACAATATTTGAATCGAATGCGAAGCAAACTTTTATTTGTGTTATCTTAACTTCCTTAATTTTACCATACTTTGATTTTACAATATGACACTGTCATGAATCTTACAAAAATGGTCACAGTTGTACTTTTACATTAACTAATCGGTCATCATCGTTCAAATGATTAACATTGGTCAATATTTAGGTATCTATAATGGTTTCCATGTGATTTTGTTATATTTATTTTGTGTCAAATAAATTTTGTAAGATACACACCTAAGGCTATTCAACGTTCAATAAACCCAACGCTACAGATGTAGCTAAGGCTCCTCTCGATTATGATATTGTTTGCGTTTCAATTAGTTAAGAAATTCACATCAGGTTTGCAAAGAGATTTCATTAGATCCCTTTTCGGAATTGTTTTATAGCTGTACACTCCTGTTGACCTTGGATCCCTTGTTATTAATAACGTATCAAGAAACCTATGTAAAAGCCAACTATAATAATATTCCGAGGAACGACGTTTAACTGACTGCTTCGTGCTTATTGTTGACACCAATATGATTGAGCGATATTGATGCCAATGAAATATATAGCCTGCTTAACTATGTATAACTCTGTCGACCAATCATGTTAATAAAACCTAGAAATAAAAGGTCGAATATGAGTTGCATTTGGGACATATTTCAGACATTCGTGTAAGTAGACAAATTAAATGAGTGAATAAGGAAATTGAATAGAGGCTCGCGGGAGAAACTGAAAAAGTCTACTCAGTGAAAAAAGGGTGAATTAGTATTTAATAAAGTGAATAATATATCAACTATAGATTTAAAAAATGAGTGTATTAATATGACGGGAAGAAAAGTCAAAATTAGATTGATTTACTCATTATGATTTTCGTTCAATGTTACTTCCTTTTTAATTCAATGTGATCATTACCCAATGTACGATAATCATGTGTTCAATTGACATGAACTATGCACAGCATGACATGCAGCATGTGGTTTGTTATAACTGTATTTTTCATATATATGTGATTTCATCCTAATTATTAATCAAAGTGGGTGTACAATCAATAGATAAATGAGTGTATTTTCAACTGGAGTCATCGTCGTGTTTTGGGGTTAATAAATCTTCACTTGTACCAGCCTTTGTGTTCTTACTTTCTCGTCGTGGGGATCGCAGTGGTCCTCGTTCTCGAATATAAGTGATAAGCGATTCCCATATAATAATTAGCGACGACCCGATATGACAAATTAGCGTGCAATCGAGAAGACTTATCAAGTATAGATGACAGACACGCAAGGCCAGCACAATCGAAATACATTTAAATTAAACGGTAAATAATGAACAAGGGGACATTTAATAAAATAGATAAGGAAGAATTTAGGCAAATTGATCTAGACATCCCTACATATAATCTAGTCGATAAGGTTTTAATTAGACATGGAAATGTCGTAAAAGGGTCATAAGACAGTTTGTATCAGTGTCCTTTTAACTCATGATAAGATTGTGAATATATGATTAACAGTTTATGATTTGAGTAATTTAGAATCACCTCATCTTCTATTTCCTTCTTCCATAGATCATGAACTGAAATTTATAGATGAAGGTTTATAAACAATGTAAAACGTGTTTGTTTTCCATGCTTAAAATAAAAATATGATAATTATTTAATAGGTTGTTTACTTTTAGCTAATAAGAAACGACCGATTGTCTTTAAATGATATAATGGATGGTTTAAAATATTTTTCTCTCTCATGTATTCTACTATCACACGTTAATACGATAGTGAGACTAGTCACGTTATATCAAGTCCAGGATTCACAATCCACAGTAGAGAACCAGATTAACGCCAGATGGTACATTATTCAACACAATTACAACCAGTCACTCTCAATAAATCTGGAGTAGAAATGAATAGGGAGAGGAAATCACATATTTACTAGTCAGTGGGTTGCGTCTGTATATCCACACTCAATGACCAACTATACTTTAATTTCACAATAACTAAGTACTCCAAAGTGGTGGTATATTCAATAAATGATTCAAATCATTTTGATTTGTTCAGTTTAACAAAACCATTTTTTGTTAACCTTTAAGTTCTATTTAATATTTGATTTTAATTCTTGTATTTCTATTTTTCTAGGGTTGTTTAGAACAGATGATAAAACTTACAGGTTGGTCTTCAGCTAGTATATTATATTTTGGAGATCATGTCTATGCTGATCTTGCAGTAAGATTTGTTGAATTTAATCAACTTTGTATCCAGAATAATATTGTAATTCTATTTATTTATATATTAATTGTGATGAAATGACCAAATTATTATTGTATACTTTAGACTAAACAATTATAGGCTCATTAATTAATCAATCACTTTTATATCATAATAAATTTTCACATGACCTGATTTCACAATACGGTCGGATGTTTTTAAGTTATCTTAAATTTTGATAGAACATTGAGAAACGGAATTGCTGTGAAAAGTGTGATTTATTTGTACTACACATTTTGAACAACCTGGTCACACATATACACTTACCAAGGCATTTTATACACATATTAATAAAGGTCAATTAAATAAGAGTTCAAATAAACAAAATAATTATTATAAGGTTTTAAAGATTACTGAGTTTTTACTGAGATCAATAACTGATCAATGTTATACCACCCTTTAAAACCTAGAAATACTGGACAGCCGTTTCGTCCTAGTATTGAACTGCACTGCAGTGTGCACCCACGATCCCTCATGCGGTGGGACTCGAACCCAAGACCTCCGATCTAGCGCGAACACCTGACCTCTAGACCACTGAGCCGGCATCCAGAGGTGTTAATATCTATCTTCAACTAATCCACGATATTGCGCGATCATCTTCGGTGGATAACTGCCCCATACCCGAAACGTTTGAACACCACTGGTCATGTCTTCTCACTAGAACTCTGAGAATTAACTTTTGAAGCTAGCTACCAGTAAGGACATTATAATTATCAGCATAGAGTTGTGGAGATTGTTGGATTTTTTTAGATCATAAACTGATCAATGGTAGACATTTATTTATTTATTTATTTATTTGAACACATAAATATTGGTACAAGAGAGCGCCAATATATATGCGCCACACAAAACAATGGGAATTCGAAGAGAAGAAGAAAAAAAAAAAAACTAAGGAACGCAAAAGAAAAAGAGAGTAATGACGATAAGGTACAATCAGAAGAAATCTTTCAGGTAAAGGAGACACAACCACTTTTTATGAAGAAAGTAAAAGAAGCTTACAGCAGGATCGCCACTGGCTTCTATTCTGAGCCATATCTGATAACGTCTCTAGCCACTGTGTAGCACCATCTCTCGGACCCCAGCCAGGGAGTCGTGAAGGACCAACACAAGCCAGTCCTTTGCAGCTTTCTTTCATGCCACGACACCATGTCATGCACTGACCACCTCTCCGCTTCTTCCAACCAGTCCCAGAGTCGGCAAATAATGCACGACGTGGAATTCTCTGGGACGACATTCGGAGAACATGTCCAAGCCACCGAAGTCGGTGTTTCAAGATGGTGACACCAATTGAGTTATCATCTCTGTGCCCGAACACACGATGCCGAACCTCTGCATTACTGACATGGTGTTGCCACTGGATGTCAGCAATCCTTCGGAGACAGCGATGATCGAACACAGAGAGTCGTCTAACGTCCTCAACTCGGAAAGCCCCCTGAATGCCCTGGTACGGCCGAGAGTGGGGAGAGTCCGCTCTCCCTCTCGAAATACTCTCACACGGCCACGCGTATACAGCCTCTGCCAGGGAAGTCCTACTCATTGCCTTCTCGTGGCGGGGGTGTTGTTTACGAAAATGAGAGGACGAAAAGCGAATGTCCGGCGCTTTAACCGGATTCCAAACCAATGGTGCACATGGGCTCCAGTATCCTGCGGGAACGAATGGCGTATGAACCAATCGTTGGTCACCGGCTACCATGGGACTGCATCTCCTTACGATGCTCCACTGCCTTGTGGGTTAGACCTTTAGGTCAAAGGCTCGGGGAGTGGCCCCCTAAGATAACCACCTGCTTCGGTTTGGGCACCCGGGCAGTATCACAGCCCACACACAAATGATGAACTTTTATGTCTATGGAAATTACTTTTTCGCTTTGAAAAACAACAATTGATTCAAATTATTATCATTACAATTATTGTCATTATTAATACTGTTATTATTATTACTATATTATTGTCATTATTGTTATTATTATCATTATTATTATTATTTTCCACATTATTCACCCTCTTTTATACTTATACAGCGGCTCGTCTTTGGTGGAATTCCGACTGTATCTATACGTTCTCGAGTCACTGTCCGGTTGAAAATTGTATGTTACCACCGAATACGAGGACTGAAGCAGATTTTCTGAAACCACGTGCACCATTCAAACTGGCTGCCTTCAACGTTCGCACATTTATGCAGGTCGGACAACAGATAGGGCTGGCTATGTCTTTGGAAAGTCTTAATATCGACGTGTGTTGTCTATCCGAGACCCGTATTCAAGACTCTGGCGAAGTACTACAAATTCGATCTCCATCTGTCGCTTCGAAAAGCTTGTTTTACGTGCGCTTATCCGGGGACCCTGTGGCATCTTCGTCTGGTCTTGCTGGCGTTGGTGTCGCACTAAGCGCTAGAGCTGAGGCAGCACTAGTCGATTGGATCCCCATTAACAGTCGGTTATGTGCTGTTAGATTAGAAAGTTCCATCAAAGTGAGAAGAAATCGGCGTGAGAAACGATGTCTTTTCGTCATCTCCGCCTATGCCCCGACAGATTGCAGCCCGGATGCAATCAAGGATGAGTTTTACCACCAGTTATCAGTTCTTCTCCAGAAAGTGCGTTCGACAGATATTGTAGTACTAGCCGGAGACTTGAATGCTCAGGTCGGGCGTCTAGGCACAGAAGAGAGTCGTTTAGGTGGCCGATGGGGACTCGTTGGTCGCAGGTCAGATAACGGGGACCGTCTACTGCAACTTTGCACAGACCACAACCTGTTTCTGGCTAGCACTAACTTTCGGCACAGTCATCGCCGATGTGCCACCTGGCGTCCTCCCTCTGCATCTCAAGCCTGGACTCAGATTGATCACATCGCGATCAGCTACCGCTGGCGTGGTTGTGTACAAGACTGCCGCTCCTTTTGGAGTACCTATCTGGACTCTGACCATGCCTTGGTCTGCGCCAATCTTGCCTTACTTTTCAGTGGACAACGAAGTGAACGCCATCAACGGATTGATGTTAGCAAGCTGGTTGCAACTTCTGTTGCAAGTAAGTATCGAACCGAGCTAGCCTCTAGGCTAGCTACCACTCCACCGAAAAGTATAGATGAGCATTGGTTGCAATTGCATGACGCCATGAAAATGGCGGGAACAGTCAGTTGTGGGTTTGCGAAACGTCCCGCTTTTAAGCACTGGGTTTCTTCTGGTTCCTTACAACTCATTGAAGCCCGTCGGTCTACTCCGGGTGACCGTGAGTTTGACCATAAACGAAGGATGTTACGTAAGGAAATTGGGCAAAGCTTGCGTAAGGACCGAGAAGCCTGGTGGTCGATGCGTGCTAATGAGCTGGAAGCAGCAGCTGCATCTGGTAACTACCGGAAGCTCTTCCAGCTCATCCGAGCCACTGGCAGCAAGAAGTCTGGTGTGAGTGAAACAATCTGCGAGGATGATGGGATGCCAATCACTAACATCCATCGACGTCTTGGACGATGGGCAGAATTTTTCGAAGGGCAGTTCAACTGGCCTGCTGCTCCGGCAACATCGGTCAGACTGTCCTGCCCTCCATGGCCGGTGACGACTGATCCACCAAACGAGGAGGAAGTCCGCAAGGAACTCCAACTCTTGAAGCGTTACAAATCACCTGGCCCAGATGACTTACCTCCGGCTCTTTTTAAAGATGGTGGTGACTTTTTGACTAAGGAATTGACGACGTTGTTTACAAAGGTTTGGGAACTAGAGAGTGTGCCAACGTCATGGAATGAGTCGATAGTTGTCCCTATCTTTAAAAAGGGTTCACGTCGTTCTTGTAACAACTATCGGGGGATAAGTTTACTTCCGATTGCGTCCAAGCTATTGGCTTCCGTCATTCTTCGTAGGTTGTTCAAAACCCGAGAAAGATTGACTCGCGAGGAGCAGGCTGGGTTTCGTTCTGGTCGAGGATGTATTGATCATATCTTCACCCTCCGCCAAATGTTAGAACACCGCCATACTTTTCAAAGGCCAACAATCGTAGTGTTTCTTGACATCAGGGCTGCCTTCGATTCGTTGGATAGGACTGTTCTCTGGGATTGTCTATTGAAGAAGGGTGTGCCTGAGAAGTTTATTAACATCCTAAAAGCCCTGTATAAAAACACCTCAGGCAGAGTGAGGGCATACAACCACCTCTCTCCATTGTTCCATTCGAGCAGTGGGGTTAGGCAGGGTTGCCCAATCTCACCATTCCTCTTCAACTTTGCCATCGATGACATTCTGGAAACAGCTCTGATGAATGTAAGTAATGGTGGTGTGGATCTGTTGCCTGGAGAAAGACTTCTCGACCTTGAGTATGCGGACGATATTGTCTTACTGTGCGATAATGCCCAAGGCATGCAATCCGCACTTAATCAGTTGGCAATCAGTGTCCGTAGGTATGGTATGTGCTTTGCACCTTCGAAGTGCAAAGTACTTCTACAAGACTGGCAGGATTCTAATCCTGTACTCACCCTGGATGGTGAGCAGATAGACGTAGTTGAGAAGTTCGTGTATCTGGGTAGCTGCATAAGTGCTGGTGGGGGTGTGAGTGATGAGATCAATGCACGAATAGTGAAAGCCAGAGCGGCTTATGCCAATCTGGGTCAATGTTAGACCAAAAGCTCTATGCTTATACCATCCTATCAAATGATATATTAACTTCTGTATTATGTAAATAATTTGTTTTACATGATTAACAACTTTTCATACATCTAGTTTAATTAGTGTATGAGTTCCTTCTATTAAAATAAGTTATCCTTATTTTTATTCGCATATAATAATCAGCATTAACTTAATCATGTGTATAAGGTAACTTGCGTCATTTTACCAGTTTCAGAATAAACTGTTATCAATTTTTCAATATACATTCTGTTGTAATTGTTATGTATGTATTTTTGTGTTTTTATGAACATTTATTGTTCTTGTCAGGAAGGAGACATATATAATGTAGTGAGGAATTATATTTCTCGGTTAAGCCAGCTCATTTATTAATTTTTCGAAATTGTTCGTACACATTTGATGATTGATAAACCAAACACTAAAATTGATATATAACTCATTATTACCACTATTTGGAATATCGTTTAATTAGTGGCTGGTGAATAAATCAATCTGCTTCTTCAGTCTTGTTTTCTACTTCTCGTCAACAAGGTAGTCTTATTCCGTCACAATAAGTAGCAGGCAGAAGTATTTCTCAGTCTTAGTAAAAATCCTTATCAATAGCAGAAATCAGTACTTGGCTCAAGTTACACATAATTTTGTCAAATTAATGTGTTTCAAGACATTACAGTTATTACCAAATGTTGCTGAAAATGCCACTTTACTTGTGAACTTCAATAGATTTCTTTCTTTATCTACTTACATAAATAATTAATTTTTAAAATAATTAATTATTATAAAATTGTCTAAAGTTATTTCTTACAGTAGTTCACAATACTCTCCCATTTACTTGAATGTATGTAGTATCATAGCTCATCCATCAATGATGAATTAAATTGAACATATAAATAAAAACCTTTTTTTCAAAAATGTATAATCCTTCATAATTATTATTACCTTTAGCAGTGTAATGTTCACTTTTTATAGCCTTCAGTATGATACTGTATTCAGTGCTTTTATTTATTCATTGTATCATTTTACTTGTAATAGCTCATCAACTCTATGGGTTGGAATTTTCACTGTGTTACTACAGAAACTAATAACTGGATTGTAAGGGATATAGATCAGGCTTGTGTTAACTCTGAATGACGTCAGTTTTCACATATTTGTCAGATTTTCTTATTCGTATGCCCCAGCAAGTTATCTATTCCATAAAATTTATCTGCCATGAAGATACGCGTATAGTATACGTCGAATTGATGACTGATAACAAGTAGTTTTTCAAGTCACTAGTCAATGTAGAAATTTAAAATCATTTTCCAATCCATCGCGAAGAATCGTGTTCACATTGCTCTACTAAAGAGAGTCAAATCAGATAATTTTTAAACGGAAACTAGAATTGGTCAGGTTTATTGTTGCGCAAAAAAAAGATTTTATTTGGTCTTTAATGTTGAGTGGATGATTGCGTCATATATCACATTGGATTTACCAGTTAACGTGTGTGTATGATCTATGAACAATAGAGTAGTCTAACTATACAATTAAGAGTGGTGAAATATATGTGGCGGAATGGATGAAAACTTACAGTTTCAAACTCAAATAAATTCAGCGTATTTACAACACTTATCCTCCATCGACGAAGTATATAACTGGAACAGAATATAGGGTTGACCTAAAACAGTTTTCAATCCTTAAATAAAACTTGCCAAGAAGTTTTTCTTCAGTTTATAGAAGTTCTACTCATTAGAAAATTCATTCCTCTTTTATGTTTTCAAACAGCAATTTGTACTCTCTTCGAACTTCCCGTGATTATCTTTAGCCATTGTTTAATGCCAAGTCTGGCACCAATATTTGATATTTCTATTTCTTATTTTTATACTATCTCTTGTGATCGTTTATATTTTTACCTATCACTATTAATTGATTTGACCTTTCTTTATATTTATGTAAATTCCCTTGAAAAGTAAGTTCATAATCCTAATTTATTTGTAATGCCTCGCTCAAGTACATCACATTTTCTTCAGATCAACTTTGTCTTCTCATTATGCTACATTTTTTCTATGGAAGTTTAGTCTAAATAAACTTTTCGGTCACATAATTTTCAATTATGGATCAGTATCCAACTTCCGCTTCATATCAAACGAAGTTATACAATAAACAGTGTTGTTCATGTTTGCGTTGTAGTCTTTATTTTCAATCAATCTTTACTAACTTTAATCATAGAACGAATAATTCATTGTTAAATATGAAGTAAAATTTTCTTTCCTGACACACAATCAATGTATTACTATATAGAAGCATGCTGGAAATTAAATCAATTTTGTTTTTATTTTTATTAGGATGTAGCCAGTACATATGGTTGGATGACTGGAGCTGTTATACCGGAACTTGAAAGTGAACTTATTGCTGCGAATAATCATGATTTCAAAATTAATTTAAAACGTTTAAGAATGCTAGAAAGATTAATTCAGGAAAACCAAGTAAATTTGATTTGAATAGTCCTATTAACTTAATTTTGTTAACAATTATGAATCTCACCAAAGCCTCATTTTTTTAAAAAAAGCTCTAAAGTTTTTATTTATTGCATTTAATTTTATAAAGGTTAAACATTTTTTTTAAACTTCGAATTTACTCGTTGTATGGACATATAAACAACATGAAAGTGTACGATGTTACCTATCAACTTACTAAAAAAGATGTATTGTATAACTTGGTTGTTATTATTTATTAAGGAACATGAATCAAATTGTTTTGCCTTTGAGCACTTGGTGGGTAATTACTGATTTTATGACTTATAAACTAATAAGCTGAGAATGCTAAATACTTTTTAAAATAGATAATCTGAATTGACGTTAATTGACACTTGAACTTCAAAGAAATACTTGACTATATATACTGCTATGTCTGATAAGTACACGGACCAAAAAGTTGTCTTACAAAGTCCAAGGTATGCCAATCTAATTTACTATAAACACATTTAACCCAACTCCTGTCTCCATAGTAACAATTGCTGCTTTCTGAGATGGTGGTCAGGCTTGCCTATCATAATGAACCGATCGAGCTATACTGGCTGGAACAAGTACGGAGCTAACACGAAAACCACTCCCAGAAATGTCGTGTGTGATCGACCTCACTCAGTAGTCTCTTGGGCACTGCGGTCACTCTGTCAGGTCACCAAGATCACCTCTAATCCAATTTCCTTTTCAGGTACCTCTAGAGAAACCCTTCCGCGGTGTGGGCAATCGGGAAGTGAAAACCGCCCTCATACCTCTAACAGCACTCAAGACCACTATGTTTATAATCAACCTCCCTCTTCAATTCCTATTATTCCTCCTCCATCGACTTTCGACTCTAAACTTCCTCTTTCGGCTTCCCCCTCAAGTGTCACCATAGCCAACGATTCTAGTGCTCAAAACACTGTCCCAGGTCAACTGAAACTTCGCTCCAAACTACACACTGGAGCCTTCAACGTACGCACTCTATGTCAAATCGGTCAACAGCCTTCTTTGGCTAGAAACCTAGAATCTCGTACCATTGATGTATGCTGTGTCTCTGAAACACGCATACAGGATCCTAATGTGGTCATTCACTTTACCTCACCTCGGCAAAACGGAGAGCCGACGAGATACACCCTCCGTGTATCTGGTGACCCGACAGCCAGCTCTCGTGGACTAGCAGGTGTGGGCATCGCACTAAGCATGAGGGTGGAACAAGCACTATTAGGGTGGATCTCCGTTAACAGTCGCCTATGTGTTGTTCGGCTAAACGGTTCCGCAAGAACTCAAAAGGATAGGGACACACGTCGTTGCCTTTTCGTCGTTTCTGCCTACGCTCCCACTGACCGCACCCTGGATGAAATGAAAGGCGACTTTTACAGAAAGCTTTCTGAACTTCTTCAAAAAGCTAAATGCTCGAACATAGTACTTCTAGCAGACGACTTTAATGCTCAAGTAGGTAGGTTAAACCAAGCAGAAAGACATTTAGGTGGGTATTCTGGTATTCCAGATCAGAGAACAGATAATGTTGACCGTCTGCTGCAACTGTGTTTAGACGGTCGTTTATTTCTAACAAGCACTGATTTTATGCATAAGGAGACATCGTCTAACATGGTGACCCACTGCACCAAACCAACAATGGACTCAAATAGATCATATTGCCATCAGTCATCTTTCGAGAGGGTCGATAGAAGATTGTCGCTTATTCTGGTGTACCTGCTTGGATTCCGACCACGCCGTAATACTGGCACGCATCTGCTTGCACCTCACTGGACGCAAAAAAGCCACACTAAAAAGACCCATTAGAATTGAATTGAGTAGCGCGAAAACCGAAATTAGGTTCCAGGTACAACTGAGGTCACAATTAGGTAGTTCTGTAAACGAGGCTGACCCAGATGTTGCATGGAAAGATATACAAACAGCCGTGGAAATAACAGTGATATCTATTAGTGATTTAAACCAAAGAGTAACAAAAACTCAATGGATTTTTTCAAGGTTTATTGCACTGATGGATTCTCGTAAACGCATCCCATCATGTTCTGAACGCGATGAAGAGCGAAAACAAATGAGACCTAGGTTAAGCAAAAGTCTTAGGAATGACCATGAAGAGTGGGGGGTAACGAAAGCAAAAGAGATGGAAAAGGCAGCGGTTGTAGGTAACATCAAACAGCTTTCCAGACAAACAAAAGAAACTAGAATCGATAAGTCAAGTGTGAGTGCGACTATTTCGGAAAAAGACAACACTCTTTTCTACTCTCAGTCCAGACGTTTAGAACGATGGGCGGAGCATTTCAGAGAACAGTTCAGCTGACCTTCAGCTACTCTACAAACACCCTCCATTCCCAGACAGTGTGAATGGAATATTGAAGAAGGTCCTTCGACTCTAGCTAAAGTTCAAAAGGCTATAGCTAATCTGAAACGAGGAAGGGCAGCTGGTCCAGATGGACTGACTCCAGAGGTCTTTGGGGATGGTGGTCCAATTTTAGCGATTAGGTTGACTAATATTTTAGCTAAGATCTGGGAGTTAAATGTTATTCCATCTGACTGGTCACAATCACTTATCGTCCCAATATATAAGAGAGGGTTAAAATCATCCTGTGACAACCATAGAGGGATTAGTTTAACTAATATAGCATCTGAAATACTATCCTCAATAATTACCAGTCGTCTAACAAAGACTCGTGAACTAACTGCAAACACGAGAAAATCAGGCTGGTTTTAGACCTGTTCGTGGCTGCATCGACCATATATTCACCATTCGTCAGGTTCTAGAACACAGACATACTTATCGACGTCCGACAATCTAATAGACTTAAACTAATCAGGCTAACTTCCAAAAAGTGAATACTCTGTATTAATGAATGAGAACATTCAAAGCGTTTGATAGATAACATTTTTGTGATTCAACTTCACATGTTAATAGGTAAAAATTAAAACATTGAATTAAATCTTGTTCATCCATCTTGATACTACATGTTTAGTTTAAAAAATCATGTGAGTACATTTAATTCTAAAGTCAGTACAGTTGTATATTATTTTGCACCTATTTTTCCTTTTCAGCATGTTCATACAGCTGAAGCAAAATTATTACTTGAAAAGTGGCTTGATGAAAGAAATGCTTTAAGACGTGCTAGTAAATGTGTATTTAATCCACAATTCGGAAGTATTTTTCGTTCTTTTCATAATCCGTCTTATTTTTCACAACGTCTTGGACAATATGCAACACTGTATACGTCAAGAGTTACGAATCTCTTACATTTTCCACTAGATCATGCATTTTTCCCTAAAAGAACTGCTTTACCACATGAATCATTTTAATTTCTAAATTCATCTTTGTTATAGTTTATTGTTGTAGGTATAAACGCACTTTTTTGTACTTTTACTACTAATGATGTTTATTAAGTAATAGTTTCGTTTGTATTCATTTTAGGTATTTATGCCTTTCTTTAATGTCTTATTACTAGTCTTTTCAAGTGAAAGTTTTTAGGTTTTTTTATGGAACAGTTTTAAGCGAGGCTAAATCTCTTTATCAGTTAAGTAGATATCGTATCATTTGGTTGAAAGCATTTGACGTATTTCTATGTCTCGTGATAGCTTCCATTCGCTGGTAAGACGCATTTACAATATTCAGTCTGTCATTTATAAGAAACATAGAACCTGTTACATATGTGTATCAACCCAAGTTTCTACAACACCTCAACGTAGTGAGGTGAAAACCAGGGTAAAAGAGAGGCGTTATCAGTGGTATTAAAAAACAATATGATTAGAGTGGAAAAATTCATTTACGCAATGGACAATTTTGAAACTAAAGATCTAAGGGAGGATAAACAGTGAAAGCGTTCTAGAAGTTGCTACCGATGTTTACACATATCACTTTATGCCGTACGCCATTGTTCCCGATAATCATACGGACCTCAGTCAAATGTTCTACAACCACCAACATGGTTCAAACCGGGACTTAGTAACTTCATGAACAAATGCATCCATTTACTTTGACTGCCCTTAGCTTTCCTTAGACCTATAATTTTATGTAACAGACAATCTCCGCCGAGTTTGAACTAAGGCCTAGGTAGCAGAACCTTGATTAATATGTAATGTCGAGTTAATGCGAGTATCGCAGCCTCATCGGAAACTTGTCTCAGCCTGAACAGATCGACGATGGCGTCTTATTTTATGAACCAGAGAGGTGTTAACGAAAATTCAAAACACAATTTTATTTCCCTCAAGATTGCTGACGAGCTTCAACTAGCATAAAACCTAAAATCAATGCTTAATTTCAACTACCTTTAACCTACTAACATCAAAACGAAGTGTGATGCAAATTCAAATCCTTTATCCTAGTTGTCACATTCCAATCCGCCTCAATCATTTACCACATTCACCGGAAATTTCGAATAGATTTGAATACTACTTATATTCTCGAAATATCCCATAGAGTTCTTCACTGGTCGATTGGTAATCGAAGGGAATTTTCGAATTTCACTTTGAGTTCATTTAGGTCGCTAGTTCGTAGCACGGTTTACAATTCAAGTCTTCCACACGTATTATGGGTTTAGCTATGCAATAAATAGTACTTTTGTCGTGCAAAGCATATAAAACTCTATGATAGTTCGGAGCTAGTTCTCATTTCGAACACTGATTTTCAGGGAAAATAGCTTATTTAGTTTTTGCTCAATGGATGAAGTCGTTTAATAGTTAAAAATTTATTGCATGGCAAGTACACGAAATTTATAATAAAGTTATCTATAAAAAATAATTAAATAGTTTTACAAATAAAAGATTATGGAATGTTGGTATAATTCATAAGAGTAAGTAAAACTGTCTAATGGATTTCACCTTAATAAACACTATTTTGTATCCATTGATAAATATATACAATACTAATAACAATTTTGCATACTATTACACCTATAATACATCATAAATTTATCATAAAAGCGACTTATGTCATATTACACTTTTTATGTTTGGTATTTACTTCAATTAGCCAAACTTAATTTGTTGCTAAGTTTTGTCAGTGCTTCAATCTTTTAAATTTCACCAAGTCTGTTAATCTTTCATTACTGATTGTAAAACATTTTATTTAAAATTCCAATGTTGTTTTTTGGTGCGAATACACTTCCTTAATTGATTACCAATTAAGCACACCGTCCGTACTAATTAACTATTTTATTCTTAACGGTACCTCTGAAATTTGTCCATTTTACAACCTACTCAGTTGATATGTTTACAGTGTAGTTTCATTCTGCCAGATATGAGGGCACTATCTTTTGTTAAAGTACAATATTTCTTGCGTTGTTCATGATAGATAGAAGTTGCATACATGTTTTACAAATAGCTGAGGACACTGAATGTCTGTGAACAAAACTGAAACCCCCTTTATGTGTTCAAAGACAATCTGTTCTTGCCGTTAACCTACTCTGGTAATGCTGGCTTATTATCAAGCGTTGTTTTCCACATCGTGTACCTTGTTCCCCCTTGCCTTTTCATTTGTCTAGTCGACCTTTTATTTTTTGTATACAAAGTCTTACCAAGTATATGTGTAATCAAACTGTATTGCGCGACTATATCACATTATTCTAATAACCTTCGTCTTCTCATCGCACTATCCAAACTAATTTTCTGAATACATAGAGGTATCCTGTTTGTTGAAATTAACAGAAGAAACTTCTTAGTATCCAGTTTTTCAAGATAAGTAGAATTATGAGTGCTGGACACAATACGCAGATCTGTTCAATATGCACTCTAGTAGTCATGAATGGACTATCACTCAAGTCTCCTTATGCATAAAATCAGTGCTTGTTAGAAATAAACGACCGTCTAAACACAGTTGCAGCAGACGGTCAACATTATCTGTTCTCTGATCTGGAATACCAGAATACCCACCTAAATGTCTTTCTGCTTGGTTTAACCTACCTACTTGAGCATTAAAGTCGTCTGCTAGAAGTACTATGTTCGAGCATTTAGCTTTTTGAAGAAGTTCAGAAAGCTTTCTGTAAAAGTCGCCTTTCATTTCATCCAGGGTGCGGTCAGTGGGAGCGTAGGCAGAAACGACGAAAAGGCAACGACGTGTGTCCCTATCCTTTTGAGTTCTTGCGGAACCGTTTAGCCGAACAACACATAGGCGACTGTTAACGGAGATCCACCCTAATAGTGCTTGTTCCACCCTCATGCTTAGTGCGATGCCCACACCTGCTAGTCCACGAGAGCTGGCTGTCGGGTCACCAGATACACGGAGGGTGTATCTCGTCGGCTCTCCGTTTTGCCGAGGTGAGGTAAAGTGAATGACCACATTAGGATCCTGTATGCGTGTTTCAGAGACACAGCATACATCAATGGTACGAGATTCTAGGTTTCTAGCCAAAGAAGGCTGTTGACCGATTTGACATAGAGTGCGTACGTTGAAGGCTCCAGTGTGTAGTTTGGAGCGAAGTTTCAGTTGACCTGGGACAGTGTTTTGAGCACTAGAATCGTTCGCTATGGTGACACTTGAGGGGAAGCCGAAAGAGGAAGTTTAGCGTCGAAAGTCGATGGAGGAGGAATAATAGGAATTGAAGAGGGAGGTTGATTATAAACATAGTGGTCTTGAGTGCTGTTAGAGGTATGAGGGCGGTTTTCACTTCCCGATTGCCCACACCGCGGAAGGGTTTCTCTAGAGGTACCTGAAAAGGAAATTGGATTAGAGGTGATCTTGGTGACCTGACAGAGTGACCGCAGTGCCCAAGGGACAACTGCTTGAGGTCGGTCACACACGACCTTTCTATTGGTAATTTTTGTGTTAGTTCCGTACTTCTTGAGACCGTACTGCCTGAGACGGATATCCGTGGGATAATGCGGTGTGCATTTTTGGGGTTGACCTTTTCTAACCCCACCCCTCCTTGTGGGAAGGCAGCATCGCTGTCATGCTGGTTGTCTGAAGGAAACACCTTACTGCTGTCACACCTCCGTACAGTCAGCAGTACGACTTCGCCTTCAGACCTTGGGTTTGTTGCTTTTAGTCTTACCGCTCTTCAACCGACCTGTCTGACATGGTAGGACCTTGAGGAACGGTTGTTGCAGCCAGTATAGCTCGGTTGCTTCATCACGATAGGCAAGCCCGACCACCACGTCAGGTAGCAACAACAGTCGGGTCAAGATAAGTAGGATTAGGAGTGCTGGATACAATACCAAGATCTGTTCAATATGTACTCTAGTAGTCATGAATGGACCATCACTCAAGTTAGATATAAGACTGTACACACTTGAAGGTATTATATTGCAATTTGAACTAGACGCGCAATAATGTACAAAGTAACCATTATTATGTACAAACATCACAACTTTTCTTACCCACCAACCAATTAAACATTGCAATCTAAACTGACAACACTTACAATTTTCTGTTGCATCCTCAGGAAACAATAATAATTGTTGCTCTATATCTGAGAAACGATGTATAAAAAACTGGGGATCAGGAAGTAACTGCGTAAATATGTTACAGTTTAGATGAATTCGATCAATCATCCACCTGAGCTACAAATCTTCACAATTTAATCATATTTCAGACTAAACGATGAAAGTGAATTAGATTTTACAGCTTCGTCTGGGTCATCACATTAAATTGTGTGGGTGTTATCAGACTACTCTTACATTACAAGCCTAATTAACCAAATTATTCTTATGAATTACACCAACATTCCATAATCTTTTATTTGTAAAACTATTAATTATTTTTTATAGATAACTTTATTATAAATTTCGTGTACTTGCCATGCAATAAATTTTTAACTATTAAACGACTTCATCCATTGAGCAAAAACTAAATAAGCTATTTTCCCTGAAAATCAGTGTTCGAAATGAGAACTAGCTCCGAACTATCATAGAGTTTTATATGCTTTGCACGACAAAAGTACTATTTATTGCATAGCTAAACCCATAATACGTGTGGAAGACTTGAATTGTAAACCGTGCTACGAACTAGCGACCTAAATGAACTCAAAGTGAAATTCGAAAATTCCCTTCGATTACCAATCGACCAGTGAAGAACTCTATGGGATATTTCGAGAATATAAGTAGTATTCAAATCTATTCGAAATTTCCGGTGAATGTGACAAATGATTGTGGCGGGTTTCATTTATCAGTAAGCCTGCACGACTTGTTCCGATATTTCATTATAAAGAATACACCAGTAAGATAGATCTCACCAATCTATGTAATACCATTATTAGTAAGAAGTAACTAGGATAGGTTTTATATGTGTTCATATTCCTGGCTGAAAATTTATTCTCAGTGTATTCAGGATGCGATGCGTGTGGTACTGAACAGTGGTGAAAACAATCTTTCATGGCTATTTATTCAAAATTACAAATATCTATCACAAAATTACTTTACGAGTATTACATCGCAGAACTAGTAGATGGTGGTTTTACTTTAATCAGTTTTAGTATTCTCATGTACACGACCAATGCGTTCACAAATCTCCTCGTTCAGTGTATATGCTGGATGGTATGCGATTCGTCCACTTTCTGTTATATACCTTAGTCGTGGATTGGGATGAGTATCTTCCATACTTCCAATTGATGTGTATCTGTAATACAGAAAAAACGCGGCATTGTTTATTTAAAAATTGGTATAAAAGTCAATAAAAAAAAATAGAATTCAGGCTGAAATAAAGATATTGACAACAGAGGAAAATTATAGCTAATAAAAAACTATGCCAATGGTAATTACGTCATGTAATTAATCATTAATTAATCAAGGGTTAATCACTGGACCTAATCTTGGTGATTGTGTAGTATCATTTTCACTTTGAGATTACAGGTATGATCGTCGGTTAGGTCATATATCTGCACATTATTGTAAGTATATGGTGTATTACCACAACTAGGGCTTGAATAAACATTCGTTTACGAAACTTTGAATTTCAAAACAAATAATCTTGGATAAATACCTAAATTTCCAGAAGTAATGGGGAGTTCGATTCTTTCTCTAAGAAACAAATGCCTGAGCATTTAAATCACGTCTCTTCAGTGTATGTAATATCTTGACATGTTTGTACTACTCACAATAAATTGTTTACAAGTAGATAATATGGTAGCTTCATGTGAACATATAAAAAATTTTATATTAAGATTGTTTCGTGATTATAATTATTACATTCATAGGACTGTATAGTCATAAACATGAGGAATTCGTAAACAGTTCTTCGCCATTGGGATCAAAATATTAACTGAAATATTATCCTTAACAATCTGCGTAAACAGTTCATCAAATTAATGACGAATGGAGTTTTCTCTTTATGAAAAACTCATCACATAAATATTCTTGAATAATAATAACACACACTCAATACTTTATTAAAATGACATCTAATAAATATGAGAATTTGAGATCATTCAATTTGAAGGTTTATATCACGAAATGACCTTAGGTCAACAATTATTGGAAACCAAGGAGCAATGAACTGTTACTTATCCTAATAAGGAATTCCAAAGCAGTGTCCACCCATGATCTTATTAGTGATATGACTCAGAATGTTCATATGCAAATGACGGCAGCAAAATATTATGATTTGACTGAAGTTGGAAACTGTGAACCACCGGATTTCAACTCAGTGATCGGAAGTTAACCTACTCAGCCCGGAACATGCAGTTCCTGAGATTGATTTTTGACAGGGTTACGGGTGCTCATTTTTAAAGACAAAACAGCCGTTCAGTGACCCCCAGTTTTCCACGATTGTCCAACGAAAGTCAATAAGCAATGTTGACTGACGTTTAAATGCTTAGCACGTTAACATTGCGAGAACAACGAAGAAAAACTGAAAAGAAATTTCGCTCCATTTGTTCTTTTCTCACTAAGTGAAAAAGATGAATTATGTCTATGTGGAATACAAAAACACTGAATCGATGTTCATGATTGACAGTGGAAGACCTTTCGAAGTAAGCGCACTTGTGAGTGCAAGTATCGAACATGATACGACAGTATCACTGCCGTCATATCCGACGAACTCTTACAGGTAAGCTCAACCAATTACAAAGTGCAAGCTGCATATTCTTAGAAAATGAAATAGATGGAAGCTAGATGACACAAGCACCATCCATAATAATCTCAATAATTCCGCGACGAAACCACAATTTAGAGACAAACCAATCGGATTAGGGATAACAACCCCAGGATTTGGCGCGAAATTCACTCAATCAGTTGGCTAAATAGCGTTTTGGCAGTTAGTGAAGTAAACTCTAAATTCAATTCTTAAACCTAACGTCCACCTGTAAACCATGAATCTAATTCGTCACATTTGGATCTGGTAAGTAGGTTGAAACTTAAGGTCACTTTAGAGTCGCTCAAAGGTCGTCAATAAATTATGGTCTCAACAACCAAGGTTTTCCTTGTGACCGACAAACCAATCAAACGTTAAGCCCGCCTAAACACCCACAGAGTTTTTGGCACAGCATATTCTATACCATCCAATGCTCTTCCAACGTTAGACAATGTAATGGCCTAGAAACAGCAAATCGAATTCCACAGAAATCATACCACACGCCAATTGGCTGGAAATCAACATATATACATTCGCTGGAGTAAACCGCACACTTTGAAAGTGGAGCTGTGTGAAATGTACGATCTTCCGGAAGGTTATGTCTTCGGGATGGGGAATCCGTTGTTAGATATCATTGTAGACGCTGACGACTATATGTATCGAAAATACAATCTTAAAAAAGACAACGTTGTACTAGCTGAAGAAAAACACATGACTATTTACGACGAAATTGAAAAGAAAAAAGGGTTGAATTATATTGCTGGAGGAGCTACATTAAACACAGTCAAGATGATTCAGTGGATACTTCAAAAACCATTTGTGTGTTCGTACGTCGGATGCATAGGTGCCGACATACAAGGGAAATATATTAAGAATGATTGTTCAGGGTTGGACTTAATGACCGAATTCCAAATCGCGACGGAACCGCTTATGACCGGAAAGGTAGCAGTCCTAGTCAGCGAAAAATTACGTAGTATGGTTACCTACCTGGGAGCAGCGTGTGGTCTTTCATTGGCCCACATTGAACAACCACATGTTTGGAGTCTTGTGGAAAAAGCACAAGTGTATTATATTGCAGTAAGTTTAAACTGTGTTATCTAGTTATTTTCAAGGGTTTCGTAATAAATACCTGTTATGAAGGTATGCTGAAAGTAGCCAAACATTCTCTGGAGAATGGAAAGTTGTTCTGTTTCAATCTCAGTGCTCCTTTTCTATCTCAGTTTAATACTAAAGAGTAGATGAAATGATATCCTACTCAGGTATTGTCTTTGGAAATGAATCTGAAGCTGAAGCTTACGGAGATGTCCACGGTCTCCTTGATGGAACTGTTCATGCAACAGCCCGGTATATAGCTGACCTACCGTTTGCTGATGGAGAAAAGCGTAAACGACTGGTCATTATAACACGAGGAAAAAACCCTTTGGTATACACAGACTCTTTTGATTCAGAAATCCATCAATTTATGGTGGAGCAGTTTCCAGACGATCAAATAATCGATACAAATGGTGCTGGAGATGCGTTTGCTGCCGGATTTGTTGCAGATTATATACGTGGTAAACCAATGGTCACTTCACTGCACTCAGCTGTGAGAGCTGCAACGTATATTATATGCAGATCTGGCTTTTCCTTAGGTTCCAGAGATTCTTATTTGTTAAAAATAAACAAATAGAAAGAAATTGAAATTGCCTTGGTTATTTCTAGTGCCATACATTAAATGACCATGTAGATATTCTTCACTTTGTCAATGGGATAAGAACTTTCACTATCCACCTGGATTCCTGTTGCATATAGTAATTCAGATGACTCCGGTATTTTGGCAAGTTTGGTTATGGGGTCCGAAGAGGAAATCATATTCGGTTCTGATAGTCTCTTGAGGGTTTGTAAGAACTTTGGATGAATGATAATCTTTTCATTTAGTGCCTTTGCAACACCTTCATATGTCACATCATCGTGAGTAGAACCTATACCCCCCGATGTTATTACGTAGTCGTAACGGTTCATATAGTTGCGAACTTCCTCTGCGATAGCATCTGAGTCATCGGGAATAACAGAAATCTACATTAGGGTGTTATCTTGTGCACTTAAGTTACCTTCCGAAGTCGTACACCAAAAAGCGGGGCAGTGAGGCATACTTGTCGTGAATTGGAATCTTTCGCTTTTCCATTCAGTATTTCGTCACCGATAACTGAAATTAGTTGTGGTTAAGGGAGATCTGTGAATAAACTAATCACTTGCAACAAATATTTTTTAGGTGTGACAAAGTCTCAAGTCCGGTGGCAGACACTATCTAAGAAGGATGTACAGTTTCTTGATGTGGGTTCGTGTAGCTCGTGAAATATGTGTCATCGGGATAATGCGTGCCTAGCGTCCCATAGTTAGAGCGAATCTGTGTACATAACAATGGGAAACCTTAAGTTTCACGAGATATGAACCTGTGTCGATCAATATACTGTAGGAACACGCTAGTCCGACTATTGGGAGGATTGTATATCTGAGTAGCTAGGTACATTTTGAGGACATGTGGTAAGTTTCGGATTTCCGAAGTCAAATAGAGCATGCTAAAATATTTGGTCACTGATGTAACTATATTAGGAAACTAGATAGTCAATAAGCAGCGTTACATTCTAGACTTAACGATGATGGGAAATGTGAGGTAGAATATTTCACCTATTGTGGCAGTGATTTGGATTAGGTAAGCTCTGGTTCCTAAGAATAATAGCTTACTCATAAGATATTTCTTAATACTTTTAGGTTATTTAGATAAGTTTCTGTTACCTTTTCTAGTCACTACTAAAATTTCCGGTTCATGTCAAGTAATCAATACATGGAACCTATATTTGGTTCACACGCAAATGTGTACACGGGTTAAATTGAGTGCATTGACACATGGCTAGTCACTATACTATGACCATATCATAGTGATTGGCAAGGGTTGTCACTTTGTGTATATTAAGTAAACGGAGACAGCTAGTGTAAATAGACGAAATATTATGCTCATTTTATGTAGCTGAAGCCGGAGAGTTTGTTTCAGAGTAAGCAGATGGGTTGTGTCACTATCACCTCTAATCAACTTCAGGAAACGTTAAAGATTATTAATTGAGCTCATATGAGGAACTGGTATAATATTTTCATTTCGGGCACTGGACCCTAACAACATGCACATTTATCGCTAAACCGGAAGATTGGTGTCAATATTCTTTATAACACTCAAATCAATAAGGTTTAGCGACAATATGGCCTCGCACTGTGGTTTATTCTAGATAGTCCAGGACTTTCAACTTCTACAATAGCTTTTAGTGTGAGGCTGTGTAAAACATTTCTAAACCTGACTGCTAAGAATTTACGTACGTTTCCCCAATTGGACACACCCTTCGGAATCATTTTAATACACCTCAAATAGGCTATGAAGATATCTACAATCGAATGAACGTAGCCATTCGATTTCACAAATACTCCTTGAAGCTACATTTCACGATACGACACACTAAGATTCAACGCTCTCTCACAAATAGTCATTGATTTATTCGTGTGATTGACATAGTCATTGATCTGTTTTGTCCCGCTGTTTCTTTTGTATAGCTGCATAATCTAATGTTTCAGTATGCTGAAATTCCGCATTTAACATAGTACTCCATATGTTAGCGCAAATTTTCTCCAAATCAGCTTCGTTTTCTCGATTTTTTCGCCGCTGCTACTCAAGTCAATGTATTCCTTCAGGCGGGCTCGCTTGTCTTATGCTATAAAATGTTAATGTTTTGTTTTGAGTATTATTTTGTAGATATCGAAAGCCGAAGTCAGTTTTTTAAGCTAAAATAAGTGTTGCTGCCGCCTTGGACTCTAACTGTCCTCATGCATGAGGAGCATGCTCCCAACTGTCATTTATGAGGAAGATGCCACAGGTATTTGGAGTTTGACAACGCTTTAACCAGTAACACCTACTACGAATCGTACCCAACAGGTGAAATCAAAAGACAGAAGCGAGTAGGTTCGAAGATATTTTTGATAGGTTATCAATATATCAAGGATCGATTGATCTAGACTGGGTAGCGATTGCAAGGGATGTTGAGCACGGCTTTCCCACTCGTGATCTGGTGCGGATGCGTGACGGAATGCCTTCAGCTAGGTGAGTTCATTAAAACTAGTGTTGTCAGCATCCAATGTCGAAAACTTACAGAGTTATCTATTTTGGGGATTTATTTACCGCTACAGATCACCCCCCGCTGGTGGGGTAGTGATGACCCTAAGACGTGGCCAGCCTGAAGTTTAAACCCAGCGAGTTTATCGTTGGTAAACACCCTTGTGATTGCTTGCGTCTGGTCGACTTTCCTTACTATAAGGGACCAGGTAGTTCAATATAGTAATAGAGAAACAAGGTACAAAGAAAATTTCGGTTCATCGTAAACCTCGTCGATCTTTTCTCTTTTCCATTCGTCCTGGAAAAGAAAAAAATGTATGTAAGTGCATGTCGAATTGCACTCGTACGCACGTAAAGACACAAAGCGGGCGAAAAAAGAAAGCTCATGCACATGCGGCAGCGTAAAAAACGATTTTTACAGAATGGCTTTTTAAAAAATATTTTTAATGTTCATATATTAGTAAAAAAAATTAATAATAAAAGGAAAAATCGGAACGAAACAAAATTTTAACTAGTGTCTTACGTGCAATAGTCGTTTAAATGTCTGAAAATTTTACTCTTCTTCCAGAACGCGTTGTTCTAAGTTTATTTTCAGATACTGCCGACGTATCATAAGTGTTGGCTGTCGGTTGAGGTATTATAAGTGTGTGAGTCGTATCGTGCAATTGCACCGAAGGAAAATTGATGTGAATAGGATTTCCTTCTAAATACGCTGCTTTGAGGCGATCGATGCTGATGCTATCGTTGGTTCCGTTCTTATCGACTATATAATACTTAGGTTTGCGTTGAAGAACTTTGAAGAGTCCTTCGTATGCTGATTCGAGAGGTCGTCGAAATGAGTCTCGACGAACGAAGACGTATGTACTATATCGTAAGTCAGGTTGAATGAAAACATCGGTTGACTGAGGTCGAGTGAAAACAATTTTAACTGAACGCATTGCGTTTGTAAGCCTGTTCGTGTAGGAGGTTAGATCCATGTTCATTGAAGAGGATGAAGGATCCACGAATTCCCTGGAAGTCGAAGTGTCGTTTCATAAGCGAGTTGAGCCGCAGTGTATCCAATGTCAGCTTTCACTGCATTGCGGATACCTAGTAAGACGAGTGGAAGAGCGTCGGTCCATTGTGAAACGTTTGCAGCTGATATTGAGGCTTTTGGTTGTCGGTGAAAACGTTCTACCAACCCGTTTGCTTGTGGGTGGTAGGCGGTTGCTCGGAAGCGAGTGATTCCCAATAGTGCAGTCAGACAACGGAAACGTCCAGATTCTAACTGGCGCCTGCGACCTGTAGCGATGGTTGAAGGGCAGCCGAAGTTCGCTACCCATCGTTCGACGGTGGCGCAGGCCACTGTTTCAGCAGTAATGTCCTTGGTAGGAACTGCTTCTGGCCATCGTGTGAAACGGTCTACGCAGGTTAAGTGATAAGAGTATCCATTCGAATCTGGTAAGGATCCTACCAAACCCAGATGAACGTGGTTAAAACGAACGTCGGGAGTTTTAAATGAGCCTGAGGGACATTTGTCTATTCACCTTAGATTTCTGGCAGCTTACACAGGAGCGTGATCACGCCCTCACGTCTTTATTCATACCAGGCCAGCAAAATCGTTCTGCTATGAGCTTGATGGTTGCACAAACACCCGGACGAGAAAGTTTGTGCAACGTCCCAATCTTGGGGAAGCCGCTATAGAAAATTTTGGGGAAATGGCCCTGAAATTTCCCCGGAATCTTGTTATAGTTTTTGCAAATTCGTTTCAACGCAATACTTCTCAACAAATTTCTACAAATATCACGGAAAAGCCTGGAGAGAATAACTATGGACAGTTTTTACTGCGATATTCTATTATTTCCAGTCAATTATGCAGTGCCAAAGAAACTTAACGTCAATCGATTTATCGCTATGATTAAAAGACTGATTCGTGACACATTGAAATGTTTATTACAGTTTGTAAAATTCCAAATCATTCATTAATACATCGTTTCTTCATTGCTTAGTCACGTAAGCACGTTACGTAGACGTTGAACTATTGTTCACAATGTTCTACAAAAATAAAAATAAAAACTCTTTAGTTTACAAGCAAGTGCTATGTAAAACGTCGATAGCGTACCAACAGTATAACAATGTTGTTAATAATGCGAACAAAAAACTTACAGTTACGTCTGTTAAAACTTGCGAAGCCAGCTGAAAATAAGATGGACAAGAAATAATTGATTTAATGTAAATGTTTATCACAAAATAAAATATTAACAAATACCTTAAGGTATAGCGACTATCACAATCGACACTAGCAATAATATCGGTTACAGTCACATCATCGCGATAAATAAAATGTTGTTCAGCAGCCACTTTTTAGGGATGACAACAACTTGCTTTTACTCCTTATCATTAACCAAGATGTACTGTCCTGATTAATGCTGTAAATCAATGCCGTCGGCTGTACTGGCAGAACACTGAACGTAACTACATGAAGCAGTGGCTGTTTGTGAGACAATATTGATACAATGCTCTGTAGCTACGGTGGTCTCTACTTCTGTGACAAC